CCCCTGGGCCTTCGGCCCGTCCCGCCTGGGTCCCGGGAGATTCCCGAAAATCCGTCCGTCAATGCTTTTATTTCCCCAAGTTGGCCCAAAATGGTCTCCCAGACGGCCAAGATGGCCTAGGATGGCCTCCAAGATGGTCCAGGATGGCCTCAAAATCCGCCCAAGATGGTCCAAGACGGCCTCCAGGACGACCCAAGAGAGTCCAAGACGGACCAAGAGGCCCCCCAGAGGCCTCCAAGACGGCCCAAGAGGCCTCCGGCCCATCCCGCCACCGTGCCCGAGTTGTGGGTTTGAGGCCTCTTGTAGATGTGTTGGGGTGTCGCGGGGAGCCCCAAGTGGGCCTCTTGGAGGCAGTTCGGGCGCCTCTTGGGGGCCTCTTGGGGCCAGGTGGAGTACCTCCTGGGCCTCTTGGAAGCCTCTTGGGCGCGTCTTGGGCGCCTCTTCGGGCCTCTTGGGGCCTCTCGGCGGCCTCTTGGGGCCTCCTTGGGGCTTCTCGGGCCACAGATATCGAACGTTCGGTTCGTGGTCCCCTGCTTGGGCACCTCTTGGGGCTGTCTTGGGGCCGTCTTGAACGCTTCTTGGGCCCATCTTGGAGCTCTCTTGTGCCCTTTTGGAGGCGTCTTGGGCTGTCTTTTGGCGGTCTTGGGAGCTTCTTGATCCGTTTTGGAGCGTCGAAGAGCCGAAACTGAGAGAAGGCAAAGATCCTCCGAAAACCGTCGTGAAATCTACGATTTCTGCCTCTTGGGGCTCTCGGGAGGCCTCTTGGAGCGCTATTGGGGGCCTTTTTGTGCCGTCTTGGAACCATCTTCGGGCGCCTTGGAGCACTCTTGGCCTCGGCAATGCGAACATGTTGTATCATGCTCGGGTTACTGCTTCGGGGACGTGACTTTATGTCATTCATGAGGGTTTGTTGCCTCGGGGACGCAATAATGGTAAAGTTGCAACGGTTTGTGGCCTCGGGGACGCGAGCATTGCATACTTTACCAGGGATTATGGCCGCGGTTACGCGAATATTGTGTAGTTTACAAGGGTTCGTGGCCTGGGGGGTACGAGTATTGATAATTGAATAAAGATTCTGATTTCGGGGACGCGAAAATACTATTATTTACTAGGGTTCACGGCGTTGGGAACGCGGACCCGGTGTATTATATGAGGGTTGATGGCACCGGGGCGCGATTCTTATGTATTTTGACATGTCCCGCGTCCCCCAGGAATTCTGGGAACCCCATGGGGTGACACTAATCATGCCCTTTTCGGCTACCCGTCCCTCGCGCAGACTGCAACACGTCACGGTAGAAGGCAGAAAGCAGGACTGTAACATTGGAGAGTTGAAATTGCAATTGGCGCAGGGAGCAGCAATTTCGTCTTACAGCCTGGTAGCCCCACAAGGGTCGATGATCCTCAGGACGCGTGTCAGCCCAATGTGTGTTCACCCCCTTCAGCCCAACCAGCAGGTCATTGCATCGCCTGCGTCGTATCGAAGGTCCTCGATGGACGAACACACGTTGGGGCGAACATCAAGGGCATAAAAAATGCCACCACCCTGGTTTACGAGGCGCTGTGCGCTGAAACTCCTGTGGGCTGACAGGGTGAACCCTGCGTGATGTGCCGCGTCCTGGCGGCTCTAGGCTTTGGTGGTTCCCAGGAGGTCTACAGACCACGCACTTGTGACCCAGGGTAGGGTCGTTTTTTTCATCCCTCAATAACACACGTCCTGAGGATCCTCGAGAGGGGGCCCGCGGATGTCCCCTGCCTCGTATCCAGCTGGCCGCGGCAAAACGTCCCCCCGCCGTGCCAGCCCAGCAGCCCTCTGGGCGGCGTGTGCGTGTGTGTGTGTGTGTGTGTGTGTGTGTGTGTGTGTGTGTGTGTGTGTGTGTGTGTTGTTGTTGTTGTTGTTGTTGTTGTTGTTGTTGTTGTTGTTGTTGTTGTTGTTGTTGTTGTTGTTGTTGTTGTTGTTGGTGTTGGTGTTGGTGTTGTTGGTGTTGGTGTTGTTGTTGTTGTTGTTGTTGTTGTTGTTGTTGTTGGTGTTGTTGTTGTTGTTGTTGTTGTTGTTGTGGTTGTGGTTGTTGATGTTGTTGTTGTTGTTGTCGTTGTTGTTGTTGTTGCTGTTGTTGGTGTTGTTGTCGTTGTTGTGGTTGTTGTTGTTGTTGTTGTTGTTGTTGTCGTTGTCGTCGTTGTTGTTGTTGTCGTCGTTGTTTTTTTTGTTGTTATTGTTGATGTTGTTGTTGTTGTTGTTGTTGTTGTTGTTGGTTGTGTTGTTGTTGTTGTTGTTGTTGTTGTTGTTGTTGTTGTTGGTGGTGGTGTGTGTGTGTGACACCTGTGCGGCATCTGGGGCTCCTGGGGAGGAGCACCTGGGGAACTCCGGCAGGGCAGCCACTAGCATTCAGGGATTGGGCTGGGGGGGCTCTCATAAAGGATCATCATCCGCCTAATCTGAAACGACAGAAAATGACAGACAAGGACAGAACATGACAGAAAATGACACGGGACACCAGGCGGCTGCGCAAGGCAGTGTCGGGGTATGCCTCCTCGCGTTCGTCGTCGTGTTCGTTTTGTCGTCTTCCCTCCTCCTCTCTCCGGGCCTCTTGGTAGGTTGGCAGGGGCGGCTTGCGGGCCTCTCAGGGGCTCCTGAGCGCTCCTGGGGTCGTCCGAGGACAGTCTGGCGCATTCGATGTTTGTCTTCGTGGCCCTGTGATGACTAAGTGGGGAATAAGGGTTTGGGCTTCTCTAGGCCTTCCTGGAGGTCCTCTTGAAGCATTATCGGGCAACCTTGGGGGCCTGTTGGTTTGTCTTGACGCCGTCCTGAATCCTCTTGGCCATCTTGGACGCCTCGGAGAGACCAAATGAGGGGTCAGGCCGCTCAGGGAATCTCCGAAGAGGGTGGCGATGCACGCGATGAAGTGTGATGAAAGTTGGGGGTCCCTTAGAATATCCAGCTGCCTGCGGGAAGTCCCGCCACCGTGCCAGCCCAGCACCTTGGGCGACGACTGTTCTGGGGGTGCACAGGATGCCGCAACGTGTAACACCGCCTGCCCGAGACTTGGGAGAGCCGTAACATGTGGCATCTTCTCGTGCTCGTCGTGTTTCTCCCTTGCTTCGGTCCTTTCTCTGGCTCCTGTGGGGCAGTGTCGGGGTCCTCTGGGCCACTCTGATCCTTCTTGGGATCCGTCTTGGACCATCTTGGGGGGCTCCCGGGGCGTGTGGAGGTGCTGGACACCCGGACATATGGAAATCCCCAGCACGCCAGAAAAGGGAACAGCCATAAGGCTGGCCTATTCGGGTCCTACTGTGCGTCGTCTTCGGCCATTTTGGGTGCCCTTTGGGCCGCCCTGGGGCCATCTTGGGCAGTCTTGGAGGCATCTTGGGCCATCTCGGTGGCCTTGTTTGCCTGTCTGGGAAGCGCGGGAGCGCGGACCCACAGAGTCTTGCAAGGGAGTGCGGATCCAGGCCTCGGGAGTGCGTATCCACAGTTTTTTGCGAGGGATCGGATCGTGGCCTCGGGAACGCTGACCCATAGTGTTTTGCAAGGCGTCGTGGCTGCGGGAGCGCGGATGAAGTGCTTTGCACGTCAGGGGAAGGTGAGGGCGATGAGCGCGGCACAGTGTGATGAGGGGAGGGGGGAAGACGGGAGGGGAACGGTGACAAAGAGGACAGGGTGACCGACGAGGACGGGGAGGTCGAACGTGCGGACGGGGACGAGGGTGAGACGGGAGGAGGGCCGGGAGTAGTGGCGAGGACGACGAGGACGATGAGGCCGAGCTGGGGCCGAGGCCGAGAAGGGAGGAGGCGCAAAGGGGCGAGGGCAGCGATTGAGAGGCGGCGGGGGGATCGGCGAGCTGCAGGGGAGCGTCAAGCGAGCATCCCTGACGCTTCGGGTCCTCGAGGCCCAGTGGCTTGCCGAAGGGGGCAGCAGGCATCCTGGAGCAAGTGGCGCGCACGGCAGGAGCCGGGGCGAGGGCAGACCGCGGGGCACTCCGCCGTTCGGTTCGAGCATGGGCCACGGCTGGTGTAGCCATCGCCCGGGCGCCAGACGTCACGGCGATGGCACTTCGCGACGGGGGCCGTGGTTGAAAGCCAGGTGCAGGCATTGGCGAGATGGGCGGTGCTCGCCAGGTTGGGCGAGACAGTTGGCAAATTTCCAGCGCCACTTTCTGCAACCATTTTCCGTGCGATGGGACCTAGGGGAAATATCTAGCGTAAGGGCAGTTGCGCGTACCGGGCTCAGAGTGATGCGGTCATGGGTTGTGTTGCTTGTGGCACCTGCAATCATTGGACCCAGCCTCCTCATCCTTCTCCCCCTCGTCACCATCCCACTCCAAGCACCACTCTCCCCTCCACATCCTGCTATCCCTGCCCTCCCTCTTGGAGCATCGCTCAGAGGGTTCGGGCGCCAGGAGGGCGGCCTTCCAAGATGGCATGGGGGCTTCCTATTACCCTCGTCGAAATGAACCTCAAAAAATGGCGACCACGCCCCTGCGATGTCGGCGCGCTCTTCAATGTCGATAGATGCCCCTCCTCTGTCGGGGCCAGGCAAAAGTGGTCTGACCGGGAACGACTCGGAAGTTCGATGATGACCGACATTGGAGGGGCGGCGCATACAAGTACCTCGCAGTCACCGCAACTCTGACCAGCATCTCCCCTCAGACAGTTCAGCCACGTAAGACATTTTTTAGGCTAATTTTGACGAGGGTTGTGGAAGCCCTCCCTGCTTCCAAGACCGAGAGGCCAAGCCTTCCGCGGAAGGCCGCCCCACTTCCCTCCCTCGAGCCCCCCCCCCAGTCGCGCCGCCAATCCTGCTTCCCGTGCCCCTCCTGCCGTTCCTCATCCTCCTCCGATGATCGGCGAAGACGACGACGACGATCGACGATCGACGACGACGACGACGACGACGACAACGACGACTACCTTCGACGAGTACCTTCGACGACGATCCACGATGATCGACAATCGACGATTGATAATCGACGGTCGAAGATGTCCTGCTCCCCCCCCCTGCCCAGCGCCCGTGGCCGCGGACTGCGCCGGGTGGTTCTCTCAGTGCCTGGGAAGTCCTCGAGGTGACCCCAGGTGCTGCAAAAGAGGACCTCCGACGCCGCCACTGCTGTAAGCGGACGGGGAGACAGGCAGGAGGCGGACCTGGATGTTTGGGCGATTGTGGCCCTTGTGGCCTCTGGAGAACTCCAGAGACCTCCAGAACTGCCCGTACCTGTGTTGGGATGGGGTACGCAGGACAGCGTAGTCCAGTCGTCAAGCGGTTGTAGAGGTTGTTACGACGATGGTGCGTCTTACAGCGGTCCCATTTGTATGGGCAGCTATCCATGTCAATTGCGATGTTGTAGGCAGCACAAACCATCCTTCCCTATCCTGCTCATCGTCTTTCTCCGCAGTCCGTTGCGGGAGTATGTATGGATGGGGAAGAGTGGAGGCAAGGGTCTGAGGTCCAGGGGGCTTGCAGTCTCCTTGGTCGACGTCGGCTTGGCATTTTTGCTCGTTGGTCGCTCGTCTCTTGGGAACCTTCGCTCGCGAGGGAGGAGTGCAAGCAGAAATAGGTGAGTTGCGCACAGGAAGACCGATGTGTTTACGAGTTGAGGGCAGCCGGTGGGGCGCACGAACAAAGCAGGTCGCCGTATGTGTGTCCAAACGCAGGTCTGAGAAGTAAAGACGCTCACTCAGCTGAAGAGTCATCATCATCATCGTCACCATCATCATGGAAACAAATGTAGGCTTGAGAGTGATGGCCGTGGAGGGCCAGTGCATTCCAGAATTCTGGACTCTGGATCTAGGCTGGTCTCCAGGATTATTCTACCCCACAGATGGGATGGTGGTAAAGCGAAAGGTTGGGCTATTATTATAGTATGTACTTCTGGTCGTTGGCACGGTTGCAACAGGTTTGCTCCGTTTCGTCTATGCAGGTGATCCAACAAGTGATGAGAAATACGCAATGGGGGAGGATGAGAAGGCCAGGAGGCGCAGGAGCATGAGGAGGAATGAGGAACAACCATCCGCCGATGAGGGTGACGGTGCTGTGCGTGCCAGCTTTTGCCATATTGTTTGTTTTTGATGACGACTTGGTCACCTTCGCAAATTTGCCCCTCAGCTTCAACATTGATGTATCTGCTCGTCCTGTCGCCCCTCTTGCGCTGTGCGATTTTTCGCGCTGCTGGACGAGCTCCCTCTGCTGGCCCTGCTCTAGGATGAGTTTTGTATGCTGCACCGGCGGACCTCCACCGAGCCCCGAGGACATCAAAGTCGCCTATCTGCAGAAGGCCAAGACGGAGCATCCGGATCGCAGGCCTGCTGACCAGAGTCGGGGGTGGACAGACCTCCTTCCCTGACATGTCGATTGAGGAATTGGCCGTTTTCCGTTCGCGAGAGGGCGTCGCGGCCGTCATTTTTGCGGGTCCAGGTCAGTCGTTTTCGGTCCCAGGCCGTTTCACTAAGGGGAGGTCTACTAAAGGGAGGTTTGTCCACCGCCGACAGAAGGGTTCGAGCCTGTTGGGGTGAACCAGCGAGCCCAAGAGCGTGCGCCAGAGGACTCACGGTTGGCTGGCGTAATTTGAGTGTCTCCCATAGGAGCAAGGCTCGGCGGCGAGCGAGGGGGGAGAATGAGGAGGAGAAGGTCTTCTCAGAAGGTTCGGAAGTCCCCCGGCCTTCCGAGAAGTTTTCAGAGCCTTCTCCGAAGACAACAACAAACTTCTCAGAAGGCGCGAGGGCTTCTGAGAAGTTCCGCCGTCTTTGAGAAGGCCTTCTCCTTCTCACTTCCTCCCCTCGCTCTCTGCCGATAGGAGCAGTGGGGGATGTGGCATCGAGAGCTTGCACGGCAGTTTTGGGCAGGACATGTGGCCTCTTCGGGACGAGGTCGGGGAGGGGGGCGGAGGGAAGGAGCAGGGCCATTAGTTTTTAAGTCGGGCCTGTTCCTCTACAGGAGGAATGTTCAACAATAGTTCAAACAATAGGATGGGGACGATGTTTGAAGTATTGAAAAGGCCTCACGGCCGGTGCCGCCGACCCTGATCGAAAGGGCTAGGAGTGGGGAGAGGAAGCGGAGGATGATGATGAGGAGGAGGAGGAGGAGGAGGAGGAGGTGCAGGAGGAGGAGGATGATGATGAGGAGGAGGAGGAGGAGGGGGAGGAGGAGGAGGAGGAGGAGGAGGAGGAACAGGAGGAGGAGGAACTGTATCCTTTGTGTGCCCGCTCGAAGAAAGTGCGCCCCGGGGGTGTGGTGTTCTGGCTTGGGACGTGCTCCCAAAAGAGGAAGAAGTGCATCTCGGGCGTGCCTGCTCGAGGAAAATGCGCTCTAGGGGGGTGGTATTTTGACTCGGGGCCCGCTCCCGGGACGCCTCTACGGGAGGAGGAGGAGGAGGAGGAGGAGGAGGAGGAGGAGGAGGAGGAGGAGGAGGAGGAAGGAGGAGGAGGAGGAGAGGAGGAGGAGGAGCAGGAGGAGGAGGAGGAGGAGGAAAAGGAGGAGGAGGAAGTGCATCCCGTGCGTGCCCGCTCGAGGAAAGTGCGCCCCGGCGGGCGTCGTATCTGCCCCGGCCCCCCCCCCCTCCCCCCCCTCCCCACCCCCCTTGCGGGGAAGGGATCAAAGGGAAGGGGCTTCCCTTCGACTCCACTACGACGTCGTTTAATTTCGCTTTGGATAGCGCGCTTGAGGAGGAGAGCCCTGGGAGGGGGAATACGGAGACGATGGAGACGACTTGTCGAACGGAGAAGCCCCTCACACACGCAGACAGGATCGGCGGATGTTTGAATAGTTGTTGAGTATTGTTTTAGTTTTTCAATTTTGTTCGTACGAAATCCGCCTGTAGGAGGACACTCCTGACCTAACATTAGCTCTAGATGGTAGAGGAGTAACAAGTGGGCAGACACTAAGACTGTGGTACATCTTTATTGGGTTGCACGATGTCGGCACTTTGCACTGGGGAGCGTCAGGCAAGCAGTGTGGCGAAACGTCGGTGCTCCTACGTCAAAGCGTTTTTCAGTACCACTGGTGCTTTGACTGAAGGCACGTGGGGATCGGGTTTTGACAGTACTCATGAGAAGAAATGGGGGGTTATGCAATGAACACGTAGAAGTAGAGGGGTTCGTCCAGTTCCGCTATCCCCACTCCTCTAATGGGATCTTAGGTTTGGGTCGCCTCAGGAGACCTTCTTGGGTCATGTGAGCGTTCCTGGCGTCATCTCGGGTCCACCGTGCTCAGGCCGTAGATTGCCTCCTCTGGGGCCCATGTCGGTGGTTCGTTGGGGACAGACCTCCACAGCTAGAGGCCCAAACAACCGAAGAACCTCCTTGTATGTCTGGGTACAGGTCCTCCGCCAGCGCAGGGCCTCGTCAGCTCCCCTGGGTCGCGCCTTCGGCAGACCTCCTCGGTGCACTTCGCGCGCCAGGGTGAGGGGTGCGGGGAGGGTGGCGGTTGTGTCCAGCTGCCTGCGGCAAGTCCCTCCACCGCGCCAGCCCAGCATGCTGCGTGGCGGGTGCTCGAGGGGCACGGCAGGCCGGCACATGTAACACCTCACCAGTTTAGAGTTAGGACAGCCGTGATGTTGATGTGGATGATGATGGTGATGATGATGATGATGATGGTGATGATGATGTTGATGATGTTGATGATGTTGATAATGCTGATGCTGTTGATGCTGCTGATGATGTTGATGGTGATGCTGAGCACGTTGATAACTTGTGATGATGTTGGTGATGCTGATGTTGGTGATGATGGTGAAGATGAGGATGGTTGTGTTGGCGGTGATGGCAAGGATGATGATGACGATGATGATGATGATGATGATGATGGCCACGACGCTAACGATCATAATGAGGGTGGTCATAATGGTGTCGATGATGATGATGATGGTGAAACTGATGCTGATGGTGATCATGATGATGCTGATGATGGTGATGGTGATGCTGATAAGCCGATGACGATGCTGATGTAGTGGTGGTGGTGGTGATGAACATGATGATGCTGCTGCTGATGATGCTGATGATGCAGATGCTGACGACGAGGAAGATAACGATGATGTGGATGACGCTGATGCTGATGCTGATGCCGATTATGATGTTGATGATGCTGATGGTCAGGATGCTGATCAGGATGATCATGATGCTAATGAGGATGATGATGATGACGATGATGATGATGATGATGATGATGATGATGATGCTGCTGATGATGATGATGATGATGATGATGATGATGATGCTGATGATGATGATGATGATGATGATGAAAAGGCTAATCATGCTGAGTATTATGCTGGTGATGCCGATGATGATGAGGATGAAGATGCGGATTCGGATGAGGATGAGGGCGCTGATGTTTATGATGGTTATGATGTTGACGATGGCGATGATGATGCTGCTGATGATACTGATTATGGCGATGCTGACGATGATGCTGATGATCATGTGAACTGCGATATGGTTATGATGTTGAGGATGATGCTGGTCAGTATGATGATGATGCTGATGAGGATGATGATGCTGATGATACTGTCGATGAAGACGATGACGATACCGATGACGAAGCTGCTGCTGCTGATGATGATGATGATGGCGACGATGATGACGACGACGACAATGAGGAGGAGGTGGAGGAGGGGGAGGGGGAGGAGGTGGAGGAGGCAGGGGAGGAGATGGAGGAGGAGGAGGAGGAGGAGGAGGAGGAGGAGGAGCGGCCGTCACATGTGACACCTCGCGCTTTTAATGGTTCACCAGCTTTTGTTTGAACATGTTACGCCGTCTTGGGGCTTTCTTGGGCTCCTGTACGACAGTCGTCGGGGTATCTTGGGACCCTCCTGGGCCGTCTTGCCCCCCCCCAGGACCGCCCCCCGTCGACGGGAGAGAAATCAAAGGGAAGGGGCTTCAAATCGGCTCGATTACGACATTGCTAGCTCTGTCTCTCGCTGAAAGGCTCGACAAGGAGGGTGCAGGGACAGGGGACGACGGAGACGACAACTGACGGAGACGACGACTCGAACAGACAAGCCCCTCGCTCGCCGACTGGGTCGGCGGATTTGCTGTCTACGTAGAATCGCAGGATGCATCAGCCTCACATGGTGTCCAATTGCAGGGAACGCTACGCAACATGTTGCCCGAGAAGCAATCTGCCACGCGAACAATTGATGAGGGGTGATGGACTGGCCTCCGCCGTACGGATGCTATACTGTGCGTCTGACGCCCTGCAAGGGAGCGGGGGCCTCCGAAATCGGAGGCCCACCTCGTGGTCCTCCCCCAATATGCACTGTGGGAAGCCGTTTCGGATGTTCTGCCGCAGGGGTGTCACCGCCATGCTTGGGGATGCAGTGCAAGAGCAACTGGGGAGGAGGAGCAGCAGCAGGAAGACGAGGCGGGAGGAGGAGGATCAGCAGGAGCAGGAAGACGAGACGGGAGGAGGATCAGCAGGAGTAAGAAGACGAGACGGGAGGACGAGGAGGAGGAGGAGGAGGAGGAGGAGACGGAGACGGAGGAGGAGGAGGAGGCTGATGACGAGGGGGCAGATGGAGAGGAAGAGCAGCAGCGGGAAGGGAGGAGTCGGGCTCCCAACGCCGTGCTCCAATCCGTTTGCCTCGGAGCCCGCGAGCCCTCTTCCAGGGCCAGGCCCTCGTCTCGTGTTTTGATGGCCCCGGGTCCTGTGGGCGGCACGTTGAGGCCATGAGCTGAGGAAGCGCGGCCCGCCGTGCACGAGGCAGCGGGGCGGCAGCGGTGCGCTGTTGTCGAGCCACGTTGGGGTCGCAGCTCTGCGGCGGCCCTCCGTCGGTGGTTCAAAGGTGGGGTCCTGAGGGATGGGGCCCCAAAGACGAGTTGCCTCACACAGCGCACATCCACCCCTGGATCCCTTCCTATCCTTGGGACCCCTTCCCTCAGGACCACACCTTTGAACCACCGAATACAGGCCCGGAGACAAGGACGCCGTAGAGAAGTTCATCCGCATCAACGCCGCGTACAAGGCCCGGGGGTGCCACCCTCTCTGGTTGGGGGGCGGGGGTCTTTGGGGCAGGACGAGCGTGGCGGGAGGAGGACTGGTGCAGGAGGGGCGAGAGAGCAGCCCTCGCCTGCAGGAAGGCAGACATTCCAGGGTGCTCCGCAAGCGTGTGGGGGGGGGAAGGGGGGGGGATCCGACTCTGGCAGGGCTCGTTTCGATTCCTCCGATCCGATTCGATTCGATTTCGATTGCTTCCGATTCCGATTCGACTTCGGATTCCGATTTGGGACTACTAGCTTGCCGATGCTTGCCGATTCGACTGTCCCCTACTCGGTTGCCGGTTTCCGTCGATCCGAATCATGTCGATCGCCGATCCGACCTGACCTGTCGATTCGATGTTGTGCTCTCCTGCTCTGTGGGTGGGAGGTCGCCGTCCTGTGCGGCGGGGCGTAGGGTTGGGGAGGAGCCCGGGGGCGGGCGAGCGGGGGGGCATGCGGGGAGGGGTCACGGGAAGCTGCGGATGGAGGAGGCTGGGAGGAGGGAGGGGAGAGGCGGGGGAGGGAGGAGGGACGGGTTTCCTCCCTTGGCGGTGGGGCTGCGATTGGAGCCCCCTCGTGCACGGCTGGGGATCTGAGGCCTCCTCGAGGATCTCGGGCGGCTCCCCCAAACGGTGCTCCTCTCTCTTTGGTGACCGATCCATCATCCTGCCGCTGTTCCCCCTCTACCCTGGCTGCGGCCAGTCGTCGGCTGGGCTGCGACTCCCCCTCTTGCTCGGCTAGGTTGCAAGCCTCCCCGAAGACCTCAGGCTGCTCCCCAACAGTGCTCCTCTCTTCCATGGCAAATCGGGAGCAGCGATGGGGTGGATGGGCTCAGGGGGCGATGCATCGGCCCCCAATCGCCCATTGATCGCCGATAGGGGCCCGATAGCCCCTTCCCGCACAGGAACGTCTGGATTCGCTATTGGGTGCCCATCTTCCAGGTCCCCTCCTGTGCTGGTGGTCCCCTCCCTGACGTTACCCCTCCACTAGTTCATCTTCCTGGCGCTGTCCCCACGTCTACACGTCTACCCTGGTTGCAGGGCGGGCCCTGCTCGGCACCGGTCTTCACTTCCGTGCCTTCTCCGTCGCACGCAACTCTCCGCTTCGTCAGTCGCCTGCCTTTTCGGGTTCATCGTCCTGACCAGCGTCGGCTCCGGATACCACAGGAGGAGGCAAGTCAGGTAGCGATATTTCGTCCGCGGGTCCCCACGGCCCCGTCAGGTCCGCGTCAGTGTCACGTGCAAGGTCAGCCGCCGCGCCTCCATCGTCACAACTGGCTTGCGAACCCACTGCCAACCCAGTCTCCCACTCCAGGTCCGTGTCGCGAAGTCATTTCCCCGATCAGCACCCCGCTGAGAACTTCTGGTGACTGGTAAGGTGTCGCCATGCGAATCTGGACGGGACTGTGATGTTCTATCGCGCGCCGCGGGATAAACGTACGCGAGCGAGTCCTCGAGTTAAATTGCCGCCCGCAACAGCAGATGGGCGCGAAGTCGACGGCACGAGAGAAACAAAGTGGCCGGAAGCCGAACCGGTGAGCGGCCTTCCATCCCGAGTCAGTGCTGTAGTTCGGCGGCAAGCGAGAGGGGGAATTGAGAAAGAGAAGGCCTTCTCAGAAGGCGGCGGGACTTCTCAGAAGCCCTCGCGACTTCTGAGACGTTGTTTCTGCCTTCGGGGAAGGCTTCGAAAACTTCTCAGAAGTCCGGGGGACTTCCGAGCCTTCTGAGAAGGCACGCCCCTTCTCACTTCCCCCCCTGGCTCGCCGCCTAGTAGTATGCCAGAGCCCGGGACTGGCCCCCACCCCGCCGAACATGCAGAGGAAGTCATCAGTCTCGATATCTTCGAGCCAGGTTCTGTTTCCTCGTCTTCCCCTCCTTGGGCCTCCTGGGAGGCCCTCGTCGCCACCGCTGTGTTCGCCTGCGAATTCTGGTCAGAACGCATCGCAGGAGAGGTCCGTGGAGTAGCGGTGTGGGTATCTTTTGGTCTCCTCAGTCTTTGCATCTCGCCCACGCATGGGCATGTGTGTTGGCATCGTGCTTGCTTCTATATCTATATATGCTGCTTGCTTGTAGGGTCATTCCTGATTGGCCTGTGCACTTGGCTCGGACAAGATGTGGCATGAGCTCCGATGCCACCGGCGTGCTGCCCTGTCCAGGGCCACCCTGGCATCGTGAGCTAAGGCAGACACGCGCAGAGGGGGGAGCGCGGGGAGGGGGAAGAGGCCTCTCAGAAGGAGGGCTGCCTCTGAGAAGGCGTCGGCCCTGTCTGGAGTTGCAAGTCCAGTGCCGTCTAAGCATCAGCCTTCTTCTGAGGAGCCTCCTCCTCCTCCTCCTCCTCCTCCTCCTCCTCCTCCTCCTCCTCCTCCTCCTCCCCCCCTCCCTGACCCCCTGTGCGCGCCGCCTGCTGTTTTTCAGGACCCTCTCTCTCTCGACACGGTGCCCTCCACCTCCAGCCGTGGCGACGAGAAGCCCCCCCCCCCCCCCGAAGCACAACAAGCACCCACAGCGACCTCGATCCTCAAGCGCTCCTCCTCCTTCTCCCTCCTCCCGATCCTGGGAGAGCGCATGTCGTGCTCGATCCTGGAGGGGGAGGGGGATGAGGAGGAGCAGGTGGAGGAGGAGGAAGAAGAGGGGGATGAGGAGGCGGAGAAGACGGCGGTGACGGCGGCGGCGGCGGCGGAGGGAAGAGGTTGGATGCTCCAAGCACCCACAATTCGAGGCATCGCAAGAACAGGAGAGTGTAGGAAGACCAGTGGGGAGGAGTTGAAGAGCAGGGAGGAGGACCCCAGAGCGCTGCTGCATGCACTCCGCGGGTCCAAGAGCGGGCTACGATGAATCCTTTTGACGAGCCTGAGTGGGAGCGTGGACTGAGCCAGCAGCCTCCTCGAGTAAATCCGGGCGCAAGGGCCCTCGATTCTCGAGGTGTGGGCCCGCATTCCCCCTGGAAGAGTCTGTTCTCCTTACCCACAGGCGTCCACCCCCCACGCCCACCGGTTCGCCTGGTGGGTCCGATCCGGCCTGTCTGCATGTATATATATATATATATATGTATATATATACACATACAAACATGTTTATATATATAGTGTGGCGCGAAGGAGGGACTATATATACACATGTATTCATACATACAGTGCAATATACACATAGATAGTCAGGCGCGGAGAAAGGAGGATCGGGCGGGGTGGGGACCGGCCGCACGGCGTTCGAGACATCTCCCCGAACAGCCAGGTCCCAGACACTCCCGGTGTGCCCCGGTCCCGGTCCGAAGTTGTCCTCCTGGCTGCGTCCTGGTCCATCTTCGAACGACCCCGGTGGCCGCACCGCCCAGGAGCTCATGGAGGGCCCCAGCAGCTCCCTGCTGCCCGACGCGGGCGGCGCCGCGGCGCCCGCGGCGCCGAAGTCCGCCAGCGCCGGGGCGGTGGACGACGACCGCGCCACGCCGCCGCCCGCCCGCAACGACGGCGACGGCGACGGCGGCACGGCTGGCTTGCGGCAGCGGCTGGCGGCGGCGGCAGTGCGGCGTGCACGGCCTGCTTGCTGCAGCGGCACCCCCGCGGCGTCGCGAGTGGAAGTCGCGACGGGGGGGGGTTTGAACAAGGTCCGGCCGTTGGGGGGCCTTCCACTGGGACGGCGGGAAAGATCGCAGGCCTGGAGGTTAGGCTGATACCAGCACCAGTATCGGCGGTGGGCCTCCGCCGAGGGAAGAAGATCCCGATCTCGGTGATGGTGGTAATCAGAGTGAGAGGGCCTAACGGCCATTCACTGTCCCTGGGTGCGTGGCTGAAGTGGGGATCCGTGGTGACGATTCTGCTTGTTGCGCTGTTGGTGTTTGTTTGTTGTTTTCGTCCCACCCGCGAACCACGCCGCGATCCACGCCGCGACCCACGCCGCGACCCACACCGCGACCCACCCCGCGACCCACCCCGCGACCCACCCCGCGACCCACCCCGCGACCCACCCCGCAACTCACCCCGCGACCCACCCCGCGACCCACCCTGCGACCCACCCCGCGACCCACTCGCGACCCACCCCGCGACCCATCCCGCGACCCACCCCGCAACTCACCCCGCGACCCACCCCGCGACCCACCCTGCGACCCTTTTGCGACCCACCCCGCGACCCTCGCGACCCACCCCGCGCGACCCACCCCGCGACCCACCCATCCTGCGACCCACACCCACCTCCGACCCCCCGCGACCCACCCACGACCCACCCGCGATCCACCCGCGACCCAACAGCGACCCACCCGCGACCCACCCGCGACCCAGCCTCGACCCACTTGCAATCCACCCGCGATCCACCCGCGAACTATCCACATTTGTTTAACGAGAGGATTGGCGCCTGTGGCGGACTTTTTGTATGATTTGTGAAACAGCGTCTAGCAGACTGCCGACGTCCCCACCGCCCCTCATTCTTATCCGCATCTGCGGGGTGCTACGGTATTCTGACCTCCGAGGTGACCGAAATATTACCACCAGCACCGACATCTAGGATCACCTTACCCTTGTGGAGGCACCCCCCCTGTGTTGGTGATGGTGCCCATTTCCAGGCCTCCATTGTTCAAACTCATGGGACGGATGATATCAGTGGAGCCAATAGTGCACACTCACGATCGTAAACTAACCATGTACTATGACATCTGAGTTTTGTTACTCCAGCGCCCCCGCCGAGCTCTTAGAGGGCCGCCCCCTTGGGGCGCACATCGGCGCCTGTCCTGTCCTGTCCTGTCTAACAACGGTCCTGACGTCGGGGGTCTGGGAACAGCACTCCCAGCACGTCTTGCCTGCGGCAGCGGTCTCCGCGGCGGCAGCGGCGCTGGCACGCTGGGCGGCGGCGGACCAGCTCCCAGGAGGCTCCCAGGATTAAGTCGGGCATGTCCCTCGACAGGAGGAATATTTCAAATTTGTGAAAACACGATCTCGAGACGATATTTCGACTATTTTCTACTATTTGGGGATAGTTTTTGGCTATTGCGAAGGCCTTACGGCCGGTGCCGCCGACTCTGAACGACCTCGACGACGACGACGACGACGACGACGACGACGACGACGACGACGACGACGACGAAGACGACGAGTGCCCTCAGGGGCCTCTTGGGGGTAGTTTGGGGGCCTCTTCCGAAGCTCTTGGGGGCCGCTTGGGAGCCTCGTGTGGGCCTCTCGGAGCTTCCTGGGGGTCTCTGGGAGGTCTCTTGGGGCATCTTGGGGGTCTTTTGGGGCCTCATGGGGCGTGCTTGAGGGGCTTCTGGGGGCTTCCTGAGAGCTTCTCAGGCCGAGGGCTCGAAATGTCCGTTCGGGTCCCCCGTCTGGGCTCCCTCTTGGAGCCGTCGTGGGGGCCTCCTCGGCTGTCTTGGAGGCCTCTTGGGCGGTCTTGGGGCCCTATTGGGGCGTTGTGGGGCTCCCGTGGAGGCCTCTTGGTTCCTCTTGGGGCGGTCTCGGGGGCCTCTTGGCTTGTCTTGGAGTGTCGGGAAGCTGACAAGGCGAGAATGCTGAAATTGTTCAAAAACCTAGGGCAAATCTTAATTTGTGCCCCTTGGGGCCCTCTTGGAAGTCCTTTTGGAGGCCTCTTGGGGCGTTTTGGAAACTTTTTGAGCCGTCGTCTGGGAGCTACTTTGGCGACTTGGACCGATACTTCGGCGATTCGGGGCCCTCGAGGATCGTTTTGGGGACATCTTGGGGCAGTTTTGCCGCGTCCTGCAGCTGTTCTGGTCCGCCCGAGGGGAAGTCGCATCTGCCCCGGGACCCCCCCAGGACCCCTCCCCCAGACCCCCCCGGGACCCCACCCCCGGGGCCCCACCCCCCCCGCCGGCGGGGAAGGGATCAAAGGGAAGGGGCTTCCCTCAGGAGGAAAAGAAACACACAGACACAATTAATCCTCGATTCCTTAGAAAATATGGGAAAATGTGGGAAGTGGGGGCGAAGACAGAAACCCAGAAAAATATGGGAAAATTTGGGGAATCCTTTTATTAGTGTGTATTTATTTGTGTGTCCTGGGGCCCCTTCATCAAAGGGAAGGGGCGTCCCTTCGACTCAACTAAAACGTTGCTCAATTTCGCTGTGGCTGACGCGCTCGAGGAGGAGAACCCGGCGAAAGGTGGGGGAGCGGCGACGGGCCTCGAGAAAGGGGGGGGAAGCGAGCAGCGAAGGCGACGACGACGACGACGACGACGACGACGACGACGACGACGACGACGACGACGACGACGACGACGACGACGACGACGACGACCGCGACGACGATCACGACGACGACGACGACGACGACGACGAGTCAGACGGAACAGCCTCTTCCACACGCCGACAGGGTCGGCGGATTTTTGATGCTTCGCCCAGAGTCCGCCTGTAGGAGGACGTGTCCGACCGAAGACCAGCTCTTAGGAGGCTCCCAGGAGCGTCCCAGCAGGAAGCCGGGGCGTCGTCGCCGCGCCCCCGCCTCTGTGACGCCGGCGGCGCTGGCGACGGCGGCGGCGGCCCTGGTGCGACGGCGGCGCGGGGTGTTGCGGCGGCGCGCACTCCTTCAGCATCGTTTAACCGATCCCTATCCCCTTCTCCATCCCCGTCCAGATCCCCACCATCCCACCACCCGAGTTGGGGATATGCCCCTCGAAACTCGAATGGAACAGCCTATATCCCCATCTAGGGGGATACATCGGCTAGTGGGGCCCAGGCCACGCATGTGGGGATAGAGATCGGTTAAGCGATGCGCACTCTTCTTGGATCGTCGAGAACAGAAGAGCCCCTAACCCTAATGACATAGTGAAGACGTGGCCTCACGGAGGTCTCCGTCTTTGAGTGGGGGACATTCGGTCTGGGCGGTTTGGTTCGATCCATTTGCAGAAGCGAGCCCCTATTCCGAACGTTTTGAGGGATTATAGGGGTCCGTTTTTTGGTAAAGCAGTCGAGGCGGTGTTTCTGCACCATGCACGACGTTGCGCGTGGCCCCACGTGTTATCAGCGGTAGCATGACACGGTCTAGGCCTCCGATGAGGTCGGATAGTCGCGCCGCATCGCCGATGCTGTTCGACGTGGAGCCCGATTTGCTTCACGTCGACTTCGCGGGTGTATCGCCCACGTCGACGATGCATCGCCGGTGCATCCCCGATGCATCGCCGAGGCATCGCCGATGCGGCGCGATCCTCCGACCACATCTACTCCTACACCATCTAGGAGGCCTTTACCTGCACCCTCCTCCTCAAGCCTGTCAGCGAAAGAGGAATCTAGCAAGGTGGTAATCGATCGAGTCGAAGGGAAGCCCCTTCCCTTTGATCTGGGTCGCCGGGGGGGGATCCCGGGGGGGTCCCTGGGAGGACCTCGGAGGGGTATGACGGGGGGGTCGGATACGCATTCGCCCCTGGGGGTCCCGAAGCTTCAGTAAGTACCAAGACAGGCCATGAGTGCCCCAAGAGCCCCCCGAGCCCATATAATAGGAGGCCTCCAGGTTCGGGGGCGGCAAAGAGGGTTGGTGACGACTAGGGGGGGGTGGACATCATGGCGTGGGCCATGACATCTCCCCAGATTTCCTGGCGCCTCTTCTTATTCCATCACGTCCCGGGCCCCCCCCCCTGCGCCGCGCACGTGCCGCCGGCCATGATTTGTGCACCCCCCCTCTTGGACGCCCCCCTCTGGGCCGCCCCCGACTTAGGCGGGGGATGGGCTCGGAGGGCATGCCCCGACCCCCAGCCGCCCAGGAATTCCGCCGCTGCTGGGCCCCGCGGCCCGCCGCGCCCGGGGCTCCGGGCGGTTTTCTGCCGTCGGGTGTCCCGCCCCGTCCACCGCCAAGCTCTCGGCGAGGCACCGCCGATGCCAGCTCTCCTCTCCCTCCTTCCTCCTCCTCCTCCTCGTCCTCCTCCTCCTCCTCCTCCTCCTCATCCTCTCCCACCCGAAATGCGAAGAAGGAACAGACGCCAGAAGCATATCAACTTTTGGCGCGCCGCGCGGATTTCTCGGACCCGCCCTGGGCCCCCCCCCCCCGGCGCCGGACCCCGCGCGCCAGGGGCGAGGGGTCCAGCGCAGGTCCACGAAGCCCGCGCGGAGCGCCAGGAGTTTATGTCTGTGGCGTGTTCTCTTCGTCTCGTGACCCTTCATCTGGTTCGGACTGCGCCTCAGCGGTCCGCCACACAAACCTTGGCCAGGCCAGGCATCGAGCAGATGGGCGTAGTTACAGTCGGCCCGCATGGCAAGGACCCCCCCGTCCGGCCCCCGTCGTTGGCCACTTTCGTTGGGCGCGCCGCGCTCGAAACACTTCGGAATGGGCGTCCGAGGCCCCTGCATTGTGATGTTCCAACCTACTGTAGCCTCGACCACCAGAAATGATTCCCAGCACCAAAAAAGTACCGAAACTGCAGGGTTTTCACGCGCCGGGCCCTGGGAGGCGATGCTCGTTCGACACTGTCTCGATACTGTTCTAGGTGCTCGCAATTATTTCAGGGGTGTGGTCCTGAAGTACGATGGGCGCAACATGAGCCCTTGCATCCTCGTCGGCATCCTTTTTGATGTCACGGGCCGACGCTGCACACTTGCCGATCCCGGGCCCGGGGCGGGCCCCATTGCAGGAACCGCTCGCGGCCTGGCCTCGGCGTCGCCGCCCTGCTCCGCCACCTGTCATCCTGCTCCGACGCCCGCCGAGCTCGTGTTTTTTTATTGTTTTTGTTCTCTTGGCCGCGGTTCTCCAGATGGGGCCACCGCTGCCGTGGGGGGGAGCGTTCGTCCCGTGTCGTTTCGGCGGCGAGCGAGGGGGGAAGGGAGAAGACGAATACCTCTGAGACGGCTGGAGGTCTTCTCAGAAGCCCCAGCAGGTGTCGACATCCTACCATCGAGGTCAGAATCGACGGGAAATGATGGCTTGACACATCATGAAATTGGATATTTGGTTCATGTCAGCTCATGATTAACAAGTAATGCCCCCTTTCGGGGCTGATGAATAGACCCCGCGGGCCACCGCGCCGCGGATGATGGCAAACTGCGTGAACGAGGAGGAGAAAGAAGAGGAGGAAGAGGAAGAGGAGGAGGAGGAAAAGGAGGAGGAGGAGGAGGAGGAGGCGGAGGAAAAGGATAAAGGAGGAGTTCGAGGAGGAGGAGGAGGACGCGGAGGAGGAGGAGGAGGAGGAGGAGGCGGAGGAGGAGGAGGAGGAGGAGGAGTCGAAAGGGGGGGGAGGGGCCAGAACGGGAGGAAAGGCCCAGAATTCCAGGGTTATGGTCCCGCTTCCTTCATGGCCCGTTTCTGTCGCGGCGGCGGGAGTTCCGCTCGACTGCGAAACAGGAAATAGCGCGCCGGTGGCGGCGCCGACGGCCCCTGCTTCTGCCGCCCTTGCCTCCTGCCCCTCCCCCCCAGAGTGTGCTGTTTCTGTCGCCTCCTCGCCGGCGGCCGGACGTCGGCACGAATCACCAGCGCTGCCGCCGCGTGTCTCAGTCTGGCGGGCGCCACCCCCGCGAGTCGCGCGAGCAGGACACCGTTTTTAAAGCACGCGCCCCCCACGGATTTGAGAAGGAGAAAGAAAGAAAACAATAACCTAATTATCTAAATAAAATCACAAAACACACACATATATATTTATATATACATATATATTTATAAACAGTATCCCAGTGCGACCCTGCCTGGGAGTTGGAACCCCTAGGAAAGCAGCATTAGTAGTACCAGTAACGCTAAGCTAAAACTAAGCTAAAGCTAAGCCGCAGCTAAGCTAAAGCTAAGCTAGCGCTAAGCTAAAACTCAGCTAAAACTAAGCCGCAGCTAAGCTAAAGCTAAGCTTAAGCTAAGCTAAAGCTAAGCTAAAACTAAGCTAAAGCTAAGCTAAAGCTAAGCTAAAGCTAAGCTAAAGCTAAGCCAAAGCTGAGCAGCAGCTAAGCTACAGCTAAGCTACAACTAAGCTAAAGCTAAGCTAAAGCTCAGCTGAAGCTCAGCTAAAGATAAGCTAAAGCTCAGCTACAGCTAAGCTCAAGCTAAGCTAAAGCTAAGCTAAACGCTAAGCGAAAAGCTAAGTGAAACGCTAAGCTACAGCTAAGCTAAAGCTAAGCTAAAACTAAAGCTAAGGCTAAAGCTAAAGCTCCCAGGGGACTGGGGGGAACCGCGGGGCGGGGACTGGATGAACCGCCCGGGGCGTGTTACACTGCCCGGCCCCTTTAAGCTAGAGAGTAAGAACCCTTTCTAGGCAGAGCCTGGGTAGGGAATCTATGTATAAATATATATATATATATATATATATATATATAATATTTATATTTATATTTATATATATATATGTATATATATATACATATACATATATAAATATAACAAACACCAGAAACATGTCATCATCTACCCAGCCGCGGCGGCCCGTGCCGCGCCGTTGCCCCTCGCGGGCCAAGAGGACGAGGGTAACGTCTACTTGGCGGGCGTTGCCTCGAGCTTCGTGGTCGTGCTCTACTTCGGGCTGTTCGAGAGCTCGGAACGCCTGCCCCTGGCGGTGCCTCGGGGGTAGACGGGTCCCGTCCGCAGGATCCCCCTCCCCAGCGAGCGCGATACGGCCTCGTCCCCAGACCCCCTCAGGTCATGAACAGATCACGGGGGACGGCGTTCGATTGTTTCGGTTTCTTTTTCAGTGCCTCAGGACCGTCAAACCAAAATGAGGATGAGGAACTGGTCCCCGGGAAAGGGGTCCAGACTTTTGGGGGGCCCGCGCCATCAAACATATAAATACACGACGTCAGGGGGCTGGGTCTGCACCCAGGTCGCGTTCAGGGGCGTCGGGATGACCGCGTTTCATTGGCTGCCGCCTGCGCCGTGGAGTTGTCTTTTTCCCCGCGGCGTTGCGCGAGGGCGGGAAGATGGCGAGGGCGGGAAGATTGGCGCGCAGCACGAGATTTTGCTACCCCCCCCGTCCACGCTTGCAGCAGTTCCTAGTTGTCGCTCTTGCTGCGCCTGCTCCTCCTCCATCGTCCCTAGCCCATACTAGAGGTATCACACGCTGCGAAAGCATGCGGGTTTTGCGGGGGAATCCTTCTCTTTTGTCGTGGGCCGCCAACATTGGCGCGACCAGACTTCAGGTGACCCCACGACCAGCACGAACACGTGGGGCGAGGGTCTCTTACTGAAATGTTTCCCGCGTGCGCGTTGCACTACAGTGTAGGTTGCAGGCGGATTTGCGGATATAAATTGCAAATGCAGGGCCCAGCTCGTGAGTTGGCACGGGCTCCGCCGGAGCGCGCACAAGGTGCACAACTCCTGGCAAGCGACGTCAGAATGGGTCTGCGCGACGGTGGCGTTTGTTCCCCCGCCCTTCCCTTCACGGTTTTCCCCCGTCCATTGTTTTTTTTTATCTTCCTCCACCTTCCCCATCCTTGTTCACTCTCGCTGCTTCTGCTCTTGTGTCTTCCCCCTCCTCCGTTTTTTCGACAACCTCCCACTATCTCGTCATATCCACCTCTTTGCTTGGCGCTTCACGTGCCACCACCTGCCCATCGAGCAACAATGCCCAGGCCAGCTGTTGGGAGATAGTAAGTGCAGAAACACATTGGCACACAGAGGCCAACTATAGGGAATTCACATACGACTCCGAACCTATTACAAGCCTCTTGGAGGCACAATGAGGCTCCCATGAGGCCCTTCGGGACCACAGTAAGTACGCTTGTTTGGGGGGCGACAGGGTTGCGAGGCGCTCGTGATGCTAATGGCCTGTGGCCAGCCATGTCTTCGGGAGCACGACGCGCGTTGCAGTGTGTGCGAACATGCTCGGTGAAGAGCCAGTTCTGCATCGCAAGAGTTTTGCGTGCACTTCTGCTGGCGCCGTACCAAGAATCACGCGCGGTGAGCCCTGCCCTGTCCATGTACGAAATTGTCGTTCAGGCTGTGCATGCTTGTATTTGTCTTCCCTTTCAGGTGCTAGTGGTTCGCATTCACCTGCATGGAGTGCCGTCAATGCATGCCTGTTGTTTCCGTCGCTCCTTGAATTCCCCCTCTGTCTCTGTTTTTCTCATATCCCGTTTATTCCCCACATCCTAAGTGTGGTTCTTGTTTTCTCTGCGCACCCTCCGCGCAGGATCTCCGCTTCCTCCTCCGGATCATCATCACCATCATCATCACTCCCCACTCATCATCATCATCACCATTAGCATCACCATCACCATCCCACGATCACTCACCATCATCGGCATCGAACGATCATCATGATCACTACTCGCTGACTTGAGGCCTGAATATGGAGGAAGTATCAGGCGGGAGCTTCGTCTGTGAGTGAATTGTGAGGAAGTCTCAGGCGGGAGCCCCCTCCCTATGGGGCCCGCAGATCATTTTACTAATCCGAGCGGGTCATCGGATTCTTTGTAATTGTCGTCAGTTTTGGGATCCTCAGGTTTGAATTTGGAGGAAGTATCAGGCGGGAGCCTCGTTTGTGAGTGAATTGTGAGGAAGTCTCAGGCGGGAGCCCCCCCCCCTATGGGGCCCGCAGATCATGTTATTAATCCGAGCGGGTCATCGGATTCCTGTAACTGTCGTCACTTTTGGGCTCCTCAGGTCTGAATTTGGAGGAAGTGTCAAGCGGGAGCCTCGTCTGTGAGTGAATTGTGAGGAAGTCTCAGGCGGGAGCCCCCTCCCTATGGGGCCCGCAGATAATTTTACTAATCCGAGCGGGTCATCGTGTCGTCATTTTTGGGCTCCTCAGGTCTGAATTTGGAAGAAGTATCAAGCGGGACCCTCGTCTGTGAGTGAATTGTGAGGACGCGTCAGGCGGGAGCCCCCTCCCTATGGGGCCCGCAGATCATGTTACTAATCCGAGCGGGTCATCGGATTCTTGTAACTGTCGTCACTTTTGGGCTCCTCAGGTCTGAATTTGGAGGAAGTATCAAGCGGGAGCCTCGTCTGTGAGTGAATTGTGAGGAAGTCTCAGGCGGGAGCCCCCTCCCTATGGGGCCCGCAGATCATGTTACTAATCCGAGCGGGTCATCGGATTCCTGTAACTGTCGTCACTTTTGGGCTCCTCAGGTCTGAATTTGGAAGAAGTATCAAGCGGGACCCTCGTCTGTGAGTGAATTGTGAGGACGCGTCAGGCGGGAGCCTTCCTATGGGTCCCGCAGCTCACGTGGTTCCTCCGGGTCATCCTCCGGCGCGCGCTTCCTCTGGGTCGTCCTCCGGCGCGTATCGGCTGGGACGCACGTCGTGCGCTTCCTCTGGGTCGTGTTCCGCACGAGGACGAGGAGGAGGAGGATTGCCAGGAAAAGGAGGAGGGATGATGCAGGACGAGACAGGAAAGCAGGAAGAGGAAGAGGCTGAGGGGAGGAAGGACGAGGAGGAAAAGGAGGAGGAGGAATGCCCGAGGAGGCCCCAGTAGGTCCCGGAAGGCCCAGAAGGCTCCAGGAGGCCCCAAGAGGCCCCAGGAGGCCCCAGGAGGGGGCAGGAGGAGGGAGGAGGAGGAGGAGGAGGAGGAGGAGGAGGAGGAGGAGGAGGGGGGGGAGGAGGGGGGAGGAATATGGAAACGAGGAGGAGGAGGAGGAGGAGGAGGAGGACGGATGAGGGAGAGGGAGAGGAGGAGGACAGGGGATGAGGAGGAGGAGGAGGAGGAGGAGGAGAAGGGAGAGGGAGAGCAGGAGGAGGAGGCAGGAGGCAGGAGGGGCAGGGGGAATGGGGGGGAGGAAGCATAACGAGGGGGAGGGGGAGGAGGTGGAGGAGGCAAGAAGAGGAGGAAGAGGCAGGGGTTGAGGCAGGAGGAGGAGCAGACAGGAGGAGAACGAGGAGGCAAGAGTAGGTGGGAGAAGGGAAGGGGCAGGAGGATACCCCCATGCAAGCTAAAGAGATTATCATGTGGGGTCCTTCCGTCGGAGTAAGTCGCCCGTTTCCCCCTTCTTTCTTCGAATCTGCCAGCCTGGTTTGCAAGTCGATATCGGCGTTCGCGGGAGGCTTACATTTTATCAATATGGCTCGCTGTCTTGGCGCTGATCCCTTCAAAGAAGACGACATGATCCTGGCAGAAGGAGGGCCCGGAGCATTCCTCAGGGTGGCAGTTGATTGTCCGCGTTGCCGTGTTCGGGAGACATGTCTCGACGTCATTCAACGGTGACCTACTCTACGAATTTGCTCTCGGCAGCCTGGGCACCATTCAACATATTTTGGGACATGTATCCAACTGCTTGGCAGTGCCATCGCAGCATTGACAATGTATGCAGATCGGTCAAACGTACAAATGTCCGTCGACAGGCTTGGCAGAACAATCCTGGTGTCGGTCGGGAACCATCGCTACGACGCGGTATCGTGTTACGGCCATAGCGTTATTTTGATGAAATTTCAGTGTTGGGGTCTCTAGGCGGCTCCCTGGCACGATACTAATGAAGGGGGCTACGTTCATGAATGGGGCTAGGATGAGTCAGGAGGAAATAGGAGCGTTGTAGTGACGGTTCTATCGGCCACTGGCCGACGGCAGAGGGCGCGGGTTCAGCATACCGTTTCGGGCGCAGGGATCGCTGCGCATGGGGGTGAATTCTGTACCTCTCTCGGTTTCTTCTCGGTCTTTGTTTGTTTGTTTTTGTTTATATATCTCTATCTCTCTCGCTTTCTCTCTCTCTCTCTCTCTGTTTCTCTCTCTCTCTCTCTCCTCTCTCTCTTTCTTTCTTTCTCTCTCTCTCTCTCTCCCGCTCTCTCCCGTTCTCACTCTCTCTTGCTCGCCTCTTCCCCTCGTCGTCCTCACCTGTCTCCCACTCAATCCTCCTCCACCCTCCTTTCTATCCAGCTTCTCTCTCCCTGCCCCATCCTTCCCTGCAAGTTCCTACACCCATCTGTTTAGACCCTTCTTCCGTCCTCCCTGCTCATCCCTCCCTCCCGTTCTTTCATCCATCTTTCCCCCATTCGTAAATTCCTACGACCACGCTGCCCGTCTCCTCTTCCTCCTCTCCTCCTCCTCCTTCCTCTGCCGCCTCCTGTCTGTTCAGCTCGCTTGCCGCGTGCTGCAACAGCATGCCGGTGTAGTTTGTGAAGGTCCTTGAACATTTTGTCAGGCGCATGTGCTTCCCAGACCGCGATCTTCATGAGCTCGTCCTGTGAGGAAGTGATGGTGATTGGCTCCCACTTGGGCTTGATGACCTTCTGCTCTTGCCCGCGATGCTGCCGCGCGTACAACTGCTCGATGTGTCTCGCGCCGTCAGCGTCAACCAAAGGGATGTTGAGAAGCGTGACTGTCGTGGAGAGGCCACGTCGAGCACAGAGCAGGTAGAGCTCCTCCTGAATCTGCGAGGGCGCCTGGGCCAACACGAAGCCGAAAGGATATGTAGGCTCAGCCCGTTGCGGGAAACTGTCGAGCTTGGCGAGCTCCAGCAACTCCGCAACCGCGACCAGGTACCTTGCTTTCATATTCTTGTAATGCGCTGGAAGCTCGCCGATGCATCGCCGATGCATGGCTCATGTCTCGCCGACGCATCGCCGATGTATCGGCGATGCGGAGCGATCTTCCGACCCCATCTGGGAGGCCTCTAGTGTAGAGATTGGCTCCAGGCCTCCCAGATAGGGTCCGAGCAGATGCCAGCACGAACGAGAGGGGTACGGACAAACATGGGTACGATGCCCAACAGCAGTTCCTGCTCATTTTTAGACGGGCTCGCTGTCGGCATCGCCGCGGGAGTTGTCCATTTGGGTCAAAAGGTCGCCTTCCCAACAGTGGCCGCTGTCGATGTTTGACAACATTCGCCCATTGATCGCCGAGGGGGGCCCGATAGCCCCAACCTACCCAGGAACTTTCGGGGGCCTATGGCCGATCAATCAGCGTTGCGTCGCCGATTACAGGTCGCTGTTGACCTCCCTAAGCCTGTTCCCCGCTTTATTTGCCCCTCAAAGGCAGGCGCGGACACAAATAGATGTCACTTCCCGTGAAAATGTGGGAAATGGGTGGGACGACGAGAATCCAGGAGTTGTTGACAAGTAGCCTTTGTGGGAGATGGGGGCTGCGGGGGCAGGGTGTCCACCCTTCGGTCCGTCCGGCTGCGTCGCAGCCAGTTGCCTTTGGTCGATTCGGCTCGGTCGGCCGTTGTGTTCGTCGCCGCGTCGCTGCGCCTTCCTGGGCTTCCTGCGGCCTGTCGGTGTCGGGCGGTGTCGGGTGCGGTGCTGGTCCTGTCGGTTTCGGGTTGTGCGGTCGCCGTACGGTGCCAATGCGTGGGGAGTCAGCCTCGAGCGCGCGGGGGGGGGCTCACGTCAATGTCTAATAGCTATATATATATATATACATACATACATACATGCATGCATGCATGCATGCATGCATGCATGCATGCATGCATACATACACACATAGTTTTCTGCCACAGCGGAGCTCTGGAACGAGACCGAGCTGGATTTCTGATCGGTCCTCATTCTTTCCCAGTGCACCGGCGCTCCGGCGCCGCACCCCCGCAGCACCCCAGACGGTGCCCACGTGCGTGCGGCTGCCTCATGCTTCGTGCTTCGTGCGGCTGCCGTATGCTACCCAGGATGGCATTCGATGGGGAGCCGCCTGGCGGGGCCGCGGGCATATTTGTGTTTTTATCGGCGGGGACGCGGGGGCGTTGAGGATGTCTTAAGTCGGGCCTGTCCCCCTACAGGGGGATTTTCGACGAAAAAAAAAAAATACACCAACAATAATCAACAAATATTCCAAAAATAGTCGGGGGACTATTTTTCTATTATTGGTTGACCTTTTGGGGGCATTGCGGGGGTATTTTTTTCAATTTTCGTCGAAAATCCCCCTGTAGGGGGACAGGACCGACATAGAGGATCTATCCGGTGGCAGCGGCCGGGGACGCGGCAGATCAGAGCGCACGGTGCTGGACAGCGAGCGGCCTGCAAGCCTGCCCGGATATCCCTGTCCTCCTGATTTAAGTCGTGGAGGACGTGGCCACGACACCCTCGATAGGGGAACAAAACGTGACATAAACACAAAACTCGGAGGTCCGCGCGGATTTCTCGGATCGGCGCTGGACCCCCCTCCCTGGCGCGCGGAGCGCGCCAGGGGCGGCGCCGGAGGCGCCGCTGGGGGGCCCCAGCGCCGATCCGAGAAATCCGCGCGGACCTCCGAGTTTTTATGCTTATGTCACTTTTCGCTCCCCTAATGAACTCGTGGAGGACGTAGCCACGACACCCTCGAGGAGCTTTCTAGTGATCGAGCGTGCTCCGCCTGCTGGCGTGGCAGCGCATGATGTTTCGAGGCAGCCTGCCCGAGATCTCCTCCCCCTCCTGACACCCCGTCCCTTTCGTGGCCATCCCGCTGGCGAGATCGCGTGCAGCTTGTTTCAAGGCAGCGCGATACAGAGACTCGTGAAGCCTCCCCGCCGCTTTCTGAGAAGGCCTGTTCCTTCTCAACGCCCTCCCACGCGCGCCGCCGAAACGAGGAGAGCGGCGCGAAGGAGCACAGAGGTGGAAGCGGCAGGCGTGCGAACGCGGGCGGGAGAGGATAAGACCACGCACGGCGCAGGTCGCACGGGTGACCGACGGACAGGTATTGGGCTGGCCTCCGGCCAGTGCCGCCGATCCGGGGGGACTCCGGAAGTGGAGTTTTCTATACCCCCTTGTCCCCGGGTACCGAAAAACTTCGGAAATGACGTCGGACATATCCCCGTGTACCGAAAAACGTTGGAAATGACGACGGAAATAACGTGCGCCCCACCCCCCCACCCCCTTGCAGAGCGAAGCTTGGGCGAGCTCAAGTCCACGCTCTCAGAAACTCACACGCCGGATCGGCGGACTTTGAAGGGTCTCGGCAATATTGAAGACCTTTCCTGCGCGCACGCCTGCCCCCGATGCACGAGCGACGTGATGCGGGTGACGGGAGGTGGGATCGCCCAGTCGGTGCGGCGGAAGTGTGCACGAGGGTCGTTCGGCATGTTGTTGGGGACAGCAGGGCCGCCGCTTCACCTTCCACGGAGCTAGGGCCGAGACTTGTGAAAGTCCTCCCCCTCCTCCTCTCCTTCCCCTTCGCTTTCTCCTCACCCTTCGACAGTGGCATTTTCATTTCGACAGCTCTAAGAATAGCTGGGGAGTGGAGTCCGACATCGCCTTCGCTGTAGACGCAAACACCGCGTGACGGACAGCAGCAATTTCGTTGTTGTGACTGGGGTGCATGGTACATGCATCACGCATGACAGAGGCAGTGAGATTGATATTGTTAGTTGAGTAGTCATGCGTGCAGGGCCGTGACTGCATCTAAACAGCGATTTGTGGTAGTCCAGGTTGGAGGGAATTGTACTGCCCTTGCTTCACACTTTGCACGGGTGTGAACTAGTAAAGGCTTCGAATCGCATGGCTCTCGACCGTGGTGCTCCATCAACGGTCTCTCAATTATGTTGGCAGGTTCGGCTGGGTACCGTTTGGTATGTCCAACATGCGTACGCTTACATCGAGTGTTGCAGTATGTGGGGTGCATGTTTGCAAAGAGCGGGAGGGACAGGGAGAGAGGGAGAGAGAGAGAGAGAGAAAGAGATAGAGAGAACACACAAGAGAGACAGAGAGGGTCAGGGATGGAGAGACCGAGAAAGAGAGAAAGAGCGAGAGAGGATACATAAAGAAAACAGAGGGCCAATTGGTAACGTGTGGTTTACGGGCCCGCACCGCATTCACACCATTCCAGTCTTGCCAGTGCCAGATGGCGAACACATGGTTCCAAATCATACATGCGTGCGCATATGATGCTGGTATTCGCGTGATGTTGAAATGAACGAGGAGCGATGCCAGCCCTTTTTTTCCGAGCGAATCAACTCGAATGACTAATCACCGCCACTGTTCGTCATCTGTTGGAAGTGGTCAATTGGAACTACCCAGGGCACTTCAACGAATTTGCGGAGACCGCCGCGCTCAGTGAGGGTTCGGATTTCGCGCAAGCTTTGCGGTGATTTTTCCGTGTGGAATTCGCTTGCAGAGTGGCTTTTGAGTTTCTGAGCAGTGCGATGGTCGCTGTCAGCTCAATGCTAGTGCCCGCCAAGGCGGATGGAACAGGGAGGAAGAGGAGGACGCTTGCCCCCCATTCTCCGAGAGTCTCCCGAGTCCCAGAAGGGCAACGCACATCGATGTAGTCGAACTTCGAAGAGGAGGCAGGAGGGAGGGAATGCGGGGGAAAAGTGGGAGAGCGAGGGGGGAGGATGGATGGTGACGGAGGAGGAGATGGAGGCAGAGAGAGAGAGGTATATTGAGAAGGTAGGGGGGTGAGTGGCGAGGCAAGTGGGCGAGAAAAATGAAGGAATGAGGGGGCGAGGGAGACGGGCCTTCTCCATCTCCTGCCGCCACCTCCTCTTCCCGCGTCCCCCATTGGGAGGAGGGAGGAGGATGGAGTCGGGAGTTCCTACACACTACAACCAGGGACAACAGCACAAATTGGGTGGAATTTGCTACGAACACTGCATTCTGGCAGTCGCTCAAGAACGACTTCATCGCCTACTCCAACATCTACCTACTACGGGCCCCAGCCCGCCCGCGCTGGCTTCCCGGGCCCCGCTAGCCACTGGCCAGCGGACACGCGCGCCTCGCCTCGCCCCATCGAGAGCGATGTTAGCTCAAGTGGATTTCAGTCAAGCCCCTCGCATATTTCGTTCCGCCGCCAGGTTGCCGTGCTGACCTGAGCGTATCAGGTTGTCGATCGAAGAGAGATCAGTTTGGGGGGTTGTTGCGAGGGTCTCGCAGGACGCCGCGCTGTCCGAGCAAGTGCCATTGACGGGTCGTGGCCAACTATGGGCCTGCCGGAGTGCCAGCAATATTGCCCGACGTTTGCCGCACGGAATGGGCCTTCGCCAGGGGCGCCCCCATCGTGGAGCAGGCGCGCTGTTGCCTGCAGGCAACGGCACGCGTGAGCCCGGTCCTGACGCGGGAGTCACCACAGAGTTCAGTGGGCTGCTGGCGGCGGTCGGGCACACGCCCTCGCTGCCACGGCGAGGCAGTCACAGGCCTGGGACACCGCGGGCACCGCCTCGGGAACGCGCTCAGACTGCTCACGGTCATGGGGCTGCTGTCCAGCGACACGGCGAGGCTCTGGGACCAGGTCGATGCGTCTGCGGACCGTGCTCGCCATGAGTCTGTCCTCGTGCGGTCCTCCCGAGGGGAGCTCGGCGCGCAGCGCGGCGGCGCGAGTGCTCGGGTGGAGGAGCGGCGCGTCCAGCGGAGGCCCGCGGTCGAGCACGCGACGCCGAGGCCAAGCGAGGCCAGGAGGCGGCTGCCGCTTTTGCGTCCCAGCGACCGCTGGCGTCGCCGCACACCGCGCGTGCGCGGCAAAGCGCGGGGCTGCCGCTTGACGTTGCCGCCTCGGCCGGGGCGGGCCTCCGCTGCGAATATGCGGCTTTGGCGCCCTGCCCCCCCCCACATGCGCCGCGACGGTGCGGGCGTCGGTTGCCCTGTGCGCGCGTGCAGGACGGGCGCCGCCTGAAACGTGCTACTGGGCTAGCCCCCGCCCCCTGCTGGGGGGGTCTGAGGGGGCGGCGCCGCCTGTCACCACCCACCAAACCACCCCAACCCAACCCGAAGGCCCAAATTTATCCTCGATTTCCAGTGGGGGGGGGGTTCGGGAAACATCGAAAAAACGCATGTGGAACCCTTACCCCCCCAACCCGAAATTCGGGTCTTCGGGTTGGGTTGGGGTGTTCTGGTAGGTAGTCAGCCTGCGATCGCAGAGGTGCCGGTGGTTGCCGCTGCGCCGTTCGACTCGGAACGGGACGGTGTGCCAGAGGGCGTCAACGACCAGGGAAACGTAAGACTCGATTGCGCCAGGGCTTGGGGGGACGTCCATCTGCTCTTTGCGGGGCCATCTTGGATCATGACGGTCCAGTTTTCGTGGGATGTTTGCCGCGGGGCCTCGCGTCCAATGTCAGATTTGGTCTCGTCTTTTTTCTGACGGCCCCGGCAAGCCAACCCGAGTCGCCCGCAGTCGAGTATTACGTTTCCCCGGTCGGAGAGGGACGGTGCGCCAGAGGATTGCAACGAGTGCATGGACGTCGACCGCATCAACGCGGTCAACAATAGAGAGGTCAAGTCCCAGAGTCGTGATCACTTCCCGGAGTGCCGAGGTGACCGAGCACGTGGGCTTTATCAATGCCGAGTGGGCTGGAGATCGATTAAGTCGGCAGCATGTGCAAGGTCTGTCGTCTCGATCAGCTCGAGCCGCGGCCGCGAACGACAGCAAAGTGGTTTGCCAGCTGATGCGGTGAGAATCGGAACCTGCCAGTGATCTTGGTCAGCGGTTTGATCGTGCGGAGTGTGGCACGCACATGTCTTAGGCGTTTGTGACCAGGGGTCTTAGGCCCATGCGCGCCGCGCGGAGGCCATCCCAGACGGGGGCGCGTCGCTGGCCAGCACAGCCGTGCGCCAGTTGGCCATCGAGGGCGAGGAGCGCGCGGCCAAACTCAGGGATTCTCTGATCAAGGCCAGGAAGAGGTCTGGCGGCGAATGACGGTCAGTCCGGGATCGCAGCTCAGAGCGAGCAGCTGCGGTCCTGAGGCCGGGCTCCGATCGCTTTCCTTTGGGGGGTCGGAGCAGCGGCCCGGCGCAGGGGCTAGCGTCTCTGGCCGCAGATCGAGCACGAGAAATCCGAAGCGACGACGTGCGCGAGCCGCCGAGGAGAGCCCGCTTTGCCGATGGCCTCCAGGAAGCGCGGCCAGGGACGAGCCGTGGGACGCCGCCCCCCTCGGGGGGAAATGGCGCCGAAGCACCGGCCATGCCATCCGAGAAAGGCAAGGGCGCTGGCGAGAAACGGCCAGCGCGGCGGTTGCCGAACCGCCAAGAGAAGAAGAGGCAGCTCGCTGCAGCGAAAGGGAAAGGCGGAGGAATGGGCAGCAGCGAGAATGGAAAGGTTGCCCCATGGAAAGGCCGAGGGAAGGCAGCACCCCCGAAAGTGGAGAGGGCGCGGGAGCCAAGAGGCCCCGACGGAACCAGGCGTTCCGTCGCGAGTGCGCGAGGGTCAGCAGGGGCGGCCAGGCGGCGGTCCAGCCGGGACATTCCACCCTCGGCGCGCTGGCGGCCTCGCCAGGAGCAGCAGGAGGGGCCCTTCGGGTAGCGTCTCACTCGCCAACCAGTGCAATGAGCAGGCACCCTCGAGACCAAGGGACATCCTCCTACTTCCCCTCCTGGAGGGCGCTCTTGACCTGCTGCAGTCCTCGCGCCCCGGAGCATCGAACAGCTCGCCGGGGCTGCCAGGGGGTCGGCGGAGGCGGGCGGCGCGGCGTTCTTCAGAGCGCGCGCGCGCGGGTCGCGCTGGCGGTCGCCGGCTCAACGTGGCCCGGGGCGCCCGTGACGCCCAGGCCGGGCCAGAGGCCCCGGTGCATGCCCGACAGGAGCAGGCTCTCGTGCATTTGTTCAAGGCGGCGGAGTACTTCGTGGCCGAGGTCGGACATGACCAGGCAGCGCCTCGGGGCCCAACTTGGGACTGGGAGGCCCATCTGTGCGCCGAGGGGGCGTCGCGCGCAGGAGAAGTGCTGGACGCGGCCCGCCGCCCCGCCTTGAGACAGGCGCTCCCGGGGCTTTCCCCCGCGGGCCGAGGAGCGTCCACTCTGCCGGCGGATTGGTGCGAGGGGGGCATTTGGGTGAAGTTGCCGTCTCCGGAGCATTCTCTGTTAGACGAGGCGGAGATCGGGCCTTTGACCTCGCTCCGCGCGCAGGCGCCCCCGCGCGAATGGGGGCTCATAGTGGAGGCCCTCTGCAAGCGGAACCTGGCCGGGGAGATCGCGGAGGAGTGCACGTTTAGAGTCCGCGGCCACAAGATCACCACAGGGGCGTTTGGCGCTGCCAAGCCGGGCAGGGTTGACCGAGGAGGGCGAGGGCGTCCTGAGGCTCATCGTTGACTTCGCCCCCGCGAGCCTTGGCCAGAAAGCCATCGGCGGGGGCGCTGACGAGATGGCTGGAGCCACTTCGCGGCTGAATCTGGCGCAGGTCGAATGCGAGTTTGTGCTCGTCAGCGGCGACGACTTAGTTTGTTGCAGCTTTTTACATGTTTGAGTTTCCAGCGTGGCGGAACCCTGTCTTCGCCTTCAGCCGACCAGTCCCCCGAAGGGTCCTCCATGGCTGCGGGAAGGGCCCCGTGTGGGTTAGTATGAAGGTCTTGTCCATGGGGTCGCTGTCGGCAGTGGGATCGATGCAGCACGCGCGCCGCAACATTATACTCTGGCCTAGGCCCGCAGGAGGAGACCTCGAGCCCGAGGCAGAGGCGCGCCGAGATCGGCCACGACCTCTGCCTCAGATGGAGGCGAAGGCGGGCAGTTGGCGCGCTTACGTCGACGACTTCGCCGAGCTCGAACGCGCGCGCTGGAGGTGTTGAACATGCCCAGCGTGGTCCCGGGGCGTTTCAGTCCCGCGTTCGGTCGGCGCATGCTCGGGGGGTTTGCCTTGGGCGGCCGAGGAAGCTGTCGAGCGGGATACCCAGGGCGAGCGGTTGGGGAGATTCCTGGACGGGGGTGCCGAATGTTTGGGGGTCCGTAGCGCCAGGCTCCTCACGAACGCGAGTTCGGCCTGCGCCTCATCGCTGCCGCGTCGGCCCCCCGGCACTGGCTCCAGATCTCTGCGGGGCGCGAAGTGCGCGCGTTTGAAATGCGCGGGCGTTAGTTCTCGTGGCGCGATCGCCCATGGGGGCGCATCGGCAGCGGGCCAGGGGCAGGACCGCTCCGCGACATGCTAGTGGCGGAGATCCTTGGCTCTCTCAGCCTGGCCCCAATGTGCTTCTCGTACCTGCAGGCGGGTCTGCGCCCCTAAATTTCGGCATCGGATGCGCCCCCCCAATGGCGCTGGAGTGACCGTGTCGACTGGCCTCGCCAAGGCGGGCATCGTTGCCGAAGACGGCGCTCGGGGCGCCGACATTAGGGCCAGCCTGGGGCACACATCGAAGGCAGTCGCGCTCATCTGTTTTTTTGACAGGGTCGGCAGGGCGCGGGCTGCCATGGCCAGGTTGGGGATCCAGCCGGTGCTGTACCTTTCTTCGGAGGTGTGCCAGGATTGCATGCGGTGCGTCCGCATGGCGTGCCCTGGCGTCGTCGATATCGGGAACATCTTCCAGCTCACGGCGGCCCCCCTGACGGCGCAGGTGCGGCCCTTGCCCGCTGTCGCAGTGGTCGTCGTCGTGGGCAGCTCGCCGCGTCAAGGTCTGTCGCAGACCCATTGTCACCAGCAGGGTGTTGATGATCACCATTCGCAGCTGTTTTCCAAGCTCGCGGAGCTGCGCTTGGGACTCAAGGTGGAGTTGGAGCAGCGCGCAATCCTTTTGCCGAGGGATGGTCGAGAACGTCGTGGTCTCGTAGACGGAGCTGGCGTTGATGAGCGACGGGTTGGGATGGCGCCCGCATAGGTGTTGCGATGGGCAAATCCGCCGAGAGCGCAGGCCTCGGTTACAAGGGAGTTCTCTTCGGTTGCCACCCGCATTCCTTGGAGGCAGGGTTGAGGAGCCAGAGCTCTTTGACGAAGTGGTGCTAGAGAATGTAGTGGAGGACGTGGCCGCTGGGAAGGCCCGCGCCGTGGGCTGCCCACCTTTACGAGGTGCATCCCGCGGGGGCTTCCCCCTCCGCAGCCGGCGGGGCTGGCTCAGTGCAGCGCCGACGCGCGCGCGCTTCGGGCGCCCCTGCCCGCAGCGCATTTGTTCTGCGAGCTTGGATCCCAGCAAGGCGGCCCGGCTAACTTCCAGGAGCGGGGGGCCACCTTGGGGTTCCGAGCGGGACGCACCGCCCATATGCACGGGGAGGAGCACGCAAACCGATTCCCGGAGCGGGCTGAGGTGGCTCGGGGGAGCAGCTTCTACGTGGGAATCGTCGTAGTGTTTTTCGTGGCGATCTTGGACGCCCGCGGGGCCCCGCTCGTGCCGCGGGGCGCGCAGCAGCTTCGGAACGGACGCCGCCAGCAGGTGCTCGAGAAGATCACGCGGCAGGAGCCGCTTGCCGCAGTTGTCCGGCATCGCCCGCCATCAGAATTGCAGCTCTCCGAGTCCGCGGAGCCGCGACTTCCTCTCCAGGTGGAGCGTCGGCGCGGAGCCAGGGCCGATAGGGGGGACGCGGAGGACGAGTTCGCCGACCGTTTGGGAGGCGAGCTTGACAAGATCCCGCTCGGCTGGAGGCCCCACAACCTTGAGGTGCACGTCGTGGAGAGCATCCTCCGGCGCTTGGATCATCGAGGGTCAGACGTTCGCGCCGACGTGGGCGTGCTCGTCCGACCATCGCCGTGGCCCAGGATGAGTATATGAATCCTGGGGAGTTGGGGTGGAAACTGTTTATTTTCACACCTTGGCGGCGGCCAGCGGAGCACATGCATGTGCTCGAGCTCCGGGCGGTGTCGGCTCTCCTTCGGAGGAGCCGCGATTGTTCCTTCTTTGGGCAGCGCTTCGTACACCTGTTGGATCCCCAGGTCGCCTTGGCAGTTGCCAACAAAGGCCGCAGCAGCGCGGCCGTCTTGAATCGAGCGCTGGTCAAGCAGAGCGCTCTTCTTATCGCAGTGGACGCCTGCGGGATCTCCGTTCACGTCGCCACGGAGGTGAACCCAGCCGAGATTGGATCCCGCATGTTTGACCATGGGTAAACGGGCAGCGGGTCTGCGGTCTTAGCAAGACCGCAGGCGAGAAAGGGTGCGGGTCGGGAGGCTGCAATATCATATCGTCTCCTGGCCCACTTTGAAGCGTTACCAGCACATGTTCGATTCTCCCCGCACGTTCACCACTGACCATGGAGTTGACGTGTTGACGCTGCCAGAGCTGGACGAGGCCGTGTGCAGCTACATCACCATGTTGTGGGAAGAAGGTATGCCGAAAAGGGATGCCAACTACACGTGCGCAGGGGTGCGCCATTTTCTGGCCACCTGGGCGCCTCCCCTCAATTGGGCCAAGCGGTTGCTGCATGCTTGGGGCAGGGCAGAGTTGCCTGCCTGAGCCCTGCCGCTCACTCCCATGATGTTGCTGGGTGTGGCTGGAGCGATGGACCTCCTTGGGCATCGCCGGGCAGGGCTCCTGAACATCCTCATGTTTCATTGCCGTTTGGGTACTTCCAAGGGCCTTGCGCTGCTGGGCAAGCACCTGACGGTTGCAGCTGATGGCCTCAGTGGTGCTGCTGCTTTGCACTCCAAGAAATACGAAGGTTCGCAACAGGGCGAGCGAAGCAGTTACTATAGATTGTCTTCGCGTTGCCGCTATTGCTCAGGAGCTGTTCCGCGGCTATTCCCCAGGCGACCCTGTCAGCGACATGCCAATGCGCAGTCACCGCGAGATGTTCGTCAAGGCTTTGGCCATTTTCAATTTGAAAATGAGGGCTACACTCCATGCTCGCTCAGACGCGGGGGTGCCGCGCGGGACTTCCGGCACCATGTGCGAATGGGCTCCACGCGCCCCGCCCGTCTCTACATCATGGACGGGGTGGCTCAGCTCGCTCAGTTGCGGTTTCGACCTCATCAGACGGCATTGCTTCATGCTTCTGATTCCCGTCTTCATGTGCGATTTGGCCCGTGGCCCCGGGCCCGGGCAGATCTAACGAGGCGGATTTTCCAGGATGGGGAGTGTGAGGGAGCGAAGGATTTGATACCCATCTCTGCGGCAGCTGCGGCGGCGGCTGCGGCGGACAGGGATCTTTTTTTGTCAGGTACCCTTCTCTGTGCCGCGCTGCGTTTTGCGGCGGCTCTCTGCCGCATGATTCGGGGGTCGGCCCCGGAGGGGCCGGCTCCTCTGCCAGCGCGTCTGGCCGTGACCTTCATATCTGGCGAGTGAGAAGAAATAGCATTAGAAGGAGTAGCATCATCATCATCATCATGATCATCATCATCATCATCATCATCATCATCATCATCATCATCATCACCATCACCATCACCATCACCATCACCATCACCATCGCCATCGCCATCAGCATCAGCATCAGCATCATCTTCATCATCATCATCATCATCATCATCATCATTCCTCTTCCATCCCTCCTCGTTCCTCCTTCCTCCCCCTCCCGCCGTCAAGTAGGGAGATCGAGGATCGAAGGAACTCCAGCATCACAATGTTTGAGCGTTTCCGGGGTTCCAGAGGCTTTTGTGACCCTCTGGAGACCGAGGGCGGTAAGGGGAGCACCTCCGGAGCTTCCAAAACGGCGCGGGAAGCGAAGCACCTCTTGTGGGCCAGGATCGTTTCCGGCGTGTTCCGGGACGTGCGGAGGAGGGTGGGGGGACGCAGGAGGAGGGAGAGAACCAAGAAGGGAGGAAGCCAGGGAAGGAGGGAGGGAGGGAGGGGGGGAAGGAGTGGAGGAGGGAAGGAGGGAAGGAGGAAGGAGGAAGCCAGGGAAGGAGGGAAGGGGGGAAGGAGGAAGGAGGAAGGAGGGAAAGAAGGAAGCGAGGAAGCCAGGGAAGGAGGGAGGCAAAGGAAAGGGAGGCAGGGCCACACGCCGCAGCCTGCAGGGCGCGAGAGTGGACGGAGGGGAGGACGGAGGGCGCACCTGCAGGCCTGCCTCCGGCGCGCGCGCGCACGCCGACCTCGGTGCGATCGAAGTGGGCACGGGCAGTGTGGGTGCAAAGTCGGAGGAGGAAAAGGTTTCCATCTCTCTACAGTGCCGTTTTTGATACATGCTCCGCGTGCGGATCATGTATTAAACATGCAGGGATTTAGTATTAAAACAACGATGAGTTCCAAACATTTGTTCATACATTGATCATGCATTCCAAATCCCATATTTTTAGAAATCCTATGTATTAAACAATGCCCTGTACGAAGTCGGAGGAGGAAAAGGTTCCCAGATCTCTACCCGGCGCCCGTTTTCCCCGTCGTGGGCCTCTGGAGGCCCTCGGCACCCACCGTTGGATTCGTTTCGCAATTCCGGTCAGAGCGCACCCCAGGAGAGGTCCAGGCAGTGGCGGTATCGGTATTTTTTGACTTCCCCAGAGTGGGTACGAAGACCGACAGGTGATCGTTCTTTCATTCATTATTTTGCCGATCGGCGCGGGCCCTCGCACCCCTCCCTCCCCCCCCAATGGAGTGGATCCTGGCTGTTTTTTGGCGTCCGTTCCAGCAGGTGAAGTCTCCCCCACAGGACGCACTGTTGCAAACAGTTGTTTTACGTAAGCAGAGGTCTGAGCCAGCCCCCCCCCTTCCCCCCTCCTTCCGCCCGGTGTCGCAACGCCGAAAAAGAGAACATTCACCAGCAGCTCTTGTTATCCTCTTGCGCAGGATTTGCTGTCGGTGCCGCCGCGAGCCTCGCCCACTTGAGACAGCAGGCCGCCCGCCCAACAGCAGCCGCTTTCTGCTTTCGACAGCGTTTGGGCTGTCGGGCATCGCACCCTTGTTCCCAGCCCCCCGACGTCAGGAGTTTTTCATGACGTCGACCCTCAAGGGCCTCGACCCATTCCTCGGGGCCGGGTTCTCCTCCTGAAGCGTGAGGGCCCCCGAAGCCCGAAATCCTGCAAAACTTCCCGTCGTGCTTTTGTCACAGCTCGAGGGGGTCTGGGTACCCATGACGAACGAACAACACACACACACACCTCCATACCCATAGGGAGGTCGTTGGGAGAATGACTGGCTATGGGTATGGATGCGGGTTGTCGGACCCTGGGGAACGCTCCCGTTCGAGCGGGGACCCCCATCCGACAACACGCACTCGTAGCCCTCTCTGATCCCCCTATGGGTATGGGTGTGTGCTGTTGATTCGTCATACCCATGCTTTCCGTGCCCGCTTCGGGCGTCCAAAAATGCCTGCATTTCTTGGCCGGCCCGGCCCGTGCCACCCGGCCGCGCCCTTGGAGGGCGCGGCGTGCGCGCGGGACCACGCGCGCGGCGCGGGCGCGCGGGCGCGCGAGCCCCCAGCGGCGGCGCCGCGCGGGAGGGTTTAGCTGGGCTCTCGCAGCGAGGGTCGGCGCTAACGTTACGTCGGGCACGTCCCTCTACAGGAGTAAGATTCAGAGATCGTTTAGAGCGTAGTCTGGGGATTTGGCTGTTTTCGACAATGTTTCAATCTGTTGTGACATTTTTTCATTTTTCGTCCAAAGTCCGTTTGCAGGGAGACATGCCCGACCTAAGGGTAGCTGGGCTCACACAGCGGGGGTCAGCGCAAACGGGGGTCAGCCAGGCTCCTCCGAGAGCCTCTGGGCTCACACAGCGGGGGCGGCAAAGAGGGAGGTGATCACGGTGATGACTAGGGGGGGGGATATCATGGCAGGGGCCATGATATCTCCCCAGATTTCATGGCGCCTCTTCTTATTTCAACACGTCCCTGGCCCCCCCCCCTCGACCGCGCACATGACGCCGGCCATGATTTGCGCACCCCCCTCTTGGACGCTCCCCTCTTGCCTGTTCCCGAAGCTGGGCTCACGCAGCGGGGGTCAGCGCTAACGGGGGTCAGCCAGGCTCATCCGAGATCCTCTGGGCTGACCCGGGTCCCCAGACCTCCTCGAGCAATGAAAAAATCATGACAGGAGGTTTTCTGCCACTTTCCGTATTTGAGGACCCTCTCGGGACCGTCAAAGAACGACTCAGGAGGAGAAACCGGTCCCAGGGAATGGGTCGAGACCTCTGGGGGTCGACGTTGTGAACAAATCATGACGTCGGGGGTCTGGGTCTGGGAGTCGTGGAGCCGACCCGGTTCTTACACAAATGAATGCCGGTGAAAGTAAGAATGCGATCTGGAGAAGCACGGGTTGTGATGTGTATTTCCATTGGTTCGTATTTATCTCCCCATACATGCTGGTAGAAGTAAGAAATGCGATCCGGTAACCAAAGAAAGCACGGGCTGCGATGTTTGCTTTCATTGGTCTGTATGTGTCTCCCCAACCTTCACGTGACCCGGGCTTGGGGGCTACCTTGCGGCCGGCCTGGGCTCGCGACGTGGCCCTGGCTGACCAGGGTTTGTGCCGACCCAGGTTTGTATGAAGTCGGGCGTGTCCCTCTAGAAGAGGAATATTCAATAATCTGGGGACGATGTTTTTGTCTGTATTTTTGTTGAAAAAGTTGGAACCTTGTTTTGTATGTTTCATTTTTCGCCCAAAATCCGAATGTAGAGGGACATGCCCGACCTAAGGTTCATTCCCGAGGGCAGCTGGTCCCGAGAGCCCGGAGCTCCCGGGCGGGAGACGCGCCCCCCCGTGCGCAGCCCTGCTCCTTTCGAGGAAGGAGGAACGTCAGAAGCATAAACGTTTGGAGCTCCGCGCGGGTTTCTTGGATCGGCGCTGGACCCCCCTTGGCGGCGCCTCTGGCGGCGCCGTTGTCGCGCTCCGCGCGCCCGGGGGCGGGGTGTCCAGCGCCGATCCATGACATCTGCGCGGGCCACCACACGTTCATGGTCTGTGCACCTTGCTCTTCCTCTAGAATGGTCGCGGGTGGGCGACGTGCCTCTCCGTGTCCCTTCTCCCGCCCTTCTCAGCGCCACTGAGGACAGGTCTCCCATAGGCAAGCAGGTGCCACAGAGGCCACGATGGCAATGGCGTCCGCTCTGGCCACTGCCCCCTCTTTCAGACGAAAACAGAGGGGGGGGGTCCATCCGTATCCACGGCCTCGCGGTTGAACGCTACGGCCGCAGCCTCACAGGTAGGCAGGTCTCCCAGATGGGGCCCGAGCAGATGGGGTCAGAGAGGATCGCGCCGCATCGCCGCTGCGTCGGCAGTACGGCTCGATGTGGAGGTCGACTTTCTCCACGCGCGGGCGTCGCCGATACATCGCCGATGCCTTGCTTGCGCATCGGTGATGCATCGGCGATGTGGCGCGATCCGGAGCCTCCTATCCCCGGAGGTGGCGAGCGGGAGACGCGTCCATCCGTAATTCTCCACGGCGAGTGCGGGCGTGACCGGTGTGTGTGTGGGGGGGGGCCGGTCTCGGACGGGCTCCGTCCCAGAGCGTTCTGGAGCGTTCTCGGAGCGTTCGGGCGGGAACGCCTTGAGAAGGCCGCGGCGCCCGAGACATCTTCCAGATCTGCCGGATCTCAGGGATTCTCGATTTATCCTCCCCCGAGTTCATCCTCGTCCTGGCTTCGTCTTGCGGTCACGTCACGATTCGCGCCGGCTTCGTCTGGGAAGGCCCGAGAGCGGCTGATTCCAAGACGGCGCCCGCCGGCGCGAATCGCGACGTGACCAGGGGAGGGGGGGGCGGGGCTGGTCTCGGGCGATGTCGCGATCCGTGAAGGAATTTGCCTCCAGGATCCATGTGGGGCGCCTCTTCGCGAATGCCAAGCGCAGAAATCATCCATGGGATCGCGTTTTCCTAAGATCGCGCCTCGGTGTGCATACAGCGAGGGCATGGACACGGATATCCGTTTGCGTGAGATGTTAGGACGTTTTCTCATATATCCAGCGGCTGCAACCAAACCGAAGCGGCCCGGTTTTTAACCGTCTTGTGCCTCTGGAGGCCTGTGCTGGGCCCCCAGTCCATCCCAATATCAAAGTTACCCCAGGAAGGGGTCGAATCCAGAGTCTAGGGGCCCATGCCTCGAGACATCCAGCTACCGGGTGCATTGACGAACGTCCGCGCGGAGTTCTTGGATTGGCGCTGGGTCCCCTTCCCTGGCTTGCGGAGCGCGCCAGGGGCTGCGCTGGAGGCGCCGCCAGGGGGGCCCAGCGCCGATCCAAGCAATCCGCGCGGATCTCCGAAAGTGTCTTTTTGTGCCGTTTGCGATTTTTCTACGTCTGGATCCAGCGAGTGTCTTTCAGGAGGGGAAAAAACACACAGACACAATTAATCGTCGATCCCCAAGAAAATATAGGAAAATATGGAAAGTGGGGGGGAAGACAAAGACCCAGAACATACGGAAACATATAGGAAATATCTTTATTTGTGTGTTCTGGAGCCCATTTATTTTGTGCCGTTTGTGATTTTTCTACGTCTGGGTCCAGCGGGTGTCTTCGGTCTGCGCTGGGCCCCCCCCTCCCCGCGCCCCCCGGGAGGCACCTCCTGGCGCCGCCTGCGACACGCTCCGCGCGCCGGGGGCGGAGTTTTGGGGGGGCAGTCCAGCGAAATCTTCGGGGGCCTCGAAAGGCCAAGGTCTGTCTGAGATGTCTCGGGGAGTTTTGTTGTAGGTTTCTGGCAGCTGTCGTTGCAGTGTGAACGTTGGCCTCGAGGGGAGGACACAGGAGGCTGGGGCTGAAGCGGAGGGCAAGGAGGAGGAGGAGGAGGAGGAAAGGGAGGAGGAAAGGGAGGAGGCGAAACACTACACGGTGCCGTCTGTGTGGTGCAGCCTGTGTCGGGCGATCTGCGTGAAGCCATCTCCCCGTGTGGTGCCCTATAACCAGCCCGCTCCGCGCGGGACCTCCCTCCCCGTGCTCGTGCAAGCAGCCCACCCGCACGCCCGCAGGCCGGCCTCAAGATCCACACGGCCGCGGAGGAGGAGGAGGAGGAGGAGGAGGAGGAGGAGGAGAAGGAGGAGGAGGAGGAGGAGGAGGGGGGGGGATGGTTGATTGCGATGGCTGCTTGGCGCTGGCTGGCCCATCGATAGGGGGCCACATGCGAACCCTACCCCTACCACCCACGATTTGTGAGGGGGAGGGTGGGGTTCACTTCGTTCGGGAGCTTCCGAGCGAAGTGAGCCCCGCCCTCCCCTTCCGAAATCGCGGGGGGTAGGGGTAGGGTTCGCATGCGGCCCCCTAATCGACGCAGCCGCGCTTGCGCGCGCAGTCTCGCGCGCAGAGCGACCGGCTGCAGCAGTCTGGCGCTGCCGGCGCGGGCCCAGTGGCGCTGACCGAAGGGCACGTCCCAGCGCATCATGCACGCCGCGCTGGGAGTCGGTGCCTCGAGCGGGCGTGGTACCGCGGCGACGTCGACGATGGCAGACACGATGATAGTACCGATGCGTGCGACGACGATCACAATGACGACGGCCAGACCAATGGATGCGCCGATGCTGATCGCGCCGATGACGATGCTGGTGTTCACGCGTCGACGATGAAGGATCTGGAAAGCTTTCGACATGCGCGCGCGGACGACGGGCGCGAGCGGCCTGCATGGCGCTCGTTGGCAAGGGTCGTGGCCCTGTAGCATGCGCGCAATGGCATTCGAATGGCTTTTCGACATGCGCGTGCGAGGGGCCCGTTTGGTCGCATTTGCTTCACATGTTGAAGACATTGTGGTTTTGTTTAGAATTCGCAGGAGCGCGCGCAAGCCTTCTTTTGAACCATCGTGTTGCAAAACCACGTGGCTTTATATGTGTTAGGGACTCGATTTTGACATGTCAGCGAAGCCTAAGGTGTTTGAAAGATTTCGGAATGCGCGCGCGACGACGTGCGCATGCGAACTTCGTCCCATTTGTTGCAGCGGGTTTCTTGCAAATCGATGGTTTTGAATACGATTGTGCGCGTATTTTGTCTGTTGCAGGGTATGGGTTTGGGGTGTCGATGCCGGCTGGGCTGGGACAGTGTTGTTTCGTCAATGTATACATAGATAATGAACGATGGGACGCGGTGCGATCTATGATATACGGTATGTGTTGTGCAATGTATGTGATACCATTAGCGTTGTGGTGTAAAAAGCAACCTATGGCCTGCAATGTGTGTGGTGCAATGTATGTGGCTGCGCATTTGTTGTTGACCAGTATATGTGATGCACTTGTATGTGGTGCAATCTAGGCTGTTCAATATGTCTAGTGGCCTTCGGTGCATCCCGCCACCGTGCTCGGTCTGCGGGTCAGAGTTATCAGGGGATGTGTCTTCGGGTCTCTTCGGGACGCTCTCGGGGGCCCTCTCGCGGGGCAGATTGGGCGCCTTTGGGGGGCCTGTTGGGGGACTCTTGGGGCCTCTTGGGGACCTCTCGGGGGCCTCTCAGGGGCTGCTACGGGCCCCTCGGGGCCGCGGGCTCGAAATGTCCGTTTGGGTCCCCCATATGAGCCCCCTCTTCGAGCCGTCTTTGGGGTCTCTTGGTCTATCTTGGGCGCATCTTAGGCCGTCTCGGGGCCCTGTTGGGCCGCTGTGGGGCCCTCTTGGAGGTTTCTTCGGCCGTTACGGGGCAATCTTGCGGGCCCCTACAGGGCCGTCCGGGAGCGTCGGGAAGCCGAAAAGGCGGGAAAGCTGAAAACATTCAAACACCCGCGGAAAAAAATAATGATTTGGGCCTGTTGGCACTTTCTGCGAAGGTTTCCTGGAGGCTTCGTCGGCGGTCGTGGAGGCTTCTTGGGCCGTCTTAGGGCCATCTTGAGCGTCTTGGAGCGATCTGCCGTCTCGAAGGCCTCTTGCGAGGTCCGCTTGACCCTTCTTGGAGCCCTCTGGGGCGCCGCAACCCAAGGGGGCACGCAAGAAGCCCCAGCAGATTCTGTAATTTGGGTTCCGGGCCCTTTTAGCGAATCCCCAGGTGTAAGGGTTCGGGCTTGGAGGATGAGGCAAAACACCTGAGGGCACGCCCACTTCGAGCCTAGTGGCACGGTCGCGGATGCTGTGCAATCTACGTAGTGCAATCTATGTGGTGCAATGTAGGGGGTTGTGCAATCTGTATGTAGTGCAATCTATGCTGTGCAATCTATTTGGTTCAGTCAATGTTGTGAGCGATCAACAGGCGCGCCGCAGGCGCTAAACCTACACCGTGTGATCTACGTGGTGCAATATATGTGGGGCAATACATGTTGTGCAACCTATGTGGTGCACCTTATGCGGTGCAACAGTTCAAACCAAGGCCCTAAGCTATGTGATACCATACATGTGCTTAGAGCTAACGTCCTCACCCATGTGGTGTTAGCATTCGACTGCATTACAATCGATTGGATTGCAACCGACTGGACTGCAATGCAAACGGGGCGACGGCGAGCACATCGCCGCCAGACCAAGTTTCAGGCGTTATATATACACAGGTTAGGAGATAACGTATCCATATACGTGGTGTTAGCAATCGATCGGATTGCAATCGGGTGGATTGCAATCAATTGGATTGCAACCGACTGGATTGTAATGCAAACCGAGGCCCAGACGACTGGCGGCGACGGGGCGGCGACGGCCAGCGCACAGCTGCCAGACTGAGTTTCTTGCCTGGACAACAGGCGGCGACGGGGCGGCGACGGTGAGTACATAGCCGCCAGACCAAGTTTCAGGCTCAGTTTTTTTAAGAAGCAGGATCCCCAGAAGTGCAAGCACTGTTTGGGGAACGTGCACACGCGCATGGCTCAATGCGTCGAGGGATGCCTCAGTACTGCTTGTGCGAACCAAGCGAAGCGAACAGAAGGGCCGACACACTTTCACACGTTTCTCCCTGCTGGCGTATGGAGTGACACCATGGTCGCGAGTCAAGTCTGCACGAGGCACGTTCACACGAATTGCATCCATCATTGTGGATGAAGTGGCCGCGGAGGAGGCCAGCGGTGGAATGGGGTACCCCGACTGGCGAGCGTTCGAGGCGGACTGCACAGAGACCGCCGGATTGAACCCCACCCCGGGTGTGCAAGAGCCGCGTCGTCCGTTGGGGACGCGAAGCCCAGCGAGGTGGCGAGCGTGCAACCCATGGCGGCAAGCGAGCAATAGAGAGGCGGCAGTGAGGCGGGCCGAGCGAGCAATGGGCAGCCTGGTCCCGAGAAGATGGGCCGACTGACAGGGACCTGCGAAATAGGGCCGCGCCTCCCTCGTCAGAAAACGACGAGGACGACGACGCCGACGAGGACGACGATACCGACCGATACCGAGAAAGATACCGAAGATGACGACTGGCGACGACCGACGGACGACGACCGATGACCGACGACGACCACGACGACCTGCGCAAGGGGGGGAGGGGGAGGGGTTCAACCCCTCCCCCTTCCACGAGGTAGGTGGGAGCGAAATGTGATCCTCCTCGTTGGGCAGGAGATGGGAACAGGAGGGGTTAGAGGGGAGGCTGGCTGCACTAGGTGCAGGGGAAGCGGTCCGGTTGGCCGGGTGTTTGGTGTCGAGGATTGTTTCGCAACCAAGCGCCCATGAAACGCGCTCTCTCATATCATACATGTCTGCACAGACAATTCAAAGGTAGTGGCGGTATTTCTTCTTCTCTACGTCCGACCTCGAAGCGGCGAACGCCGAACAGGAGATATGGATTGGTGGCCCGGTGTGAGGCCAGAGCTGAGAACATGACCAGCACCAGCAGCGGCAGCAACACATCACCCTGGCCACGTCTCTTTCTTCGTTCTCCGTCTCTCCCTCCCTCCTCCGCGCCCTCCACTGGGTGGGCTGGACTGCGACTGTCAGACCGACTAGCCTTTTTAAAGGGAGCTTCTCGGCAATCCGCGCACCGCTGTAGGGTGAGCGTGCTTCGGAGGGCAATTGTTGATCCTCCTCCTCCTCCTCCTCCTCCTCCTCCTCCTCCTCCTCCTCCTCCTCTCTCCTCCTCCTCCTCGTCTTCCTCCTCCCTTCGTCTGCGCTTCCCTTCAAGCGGCCAGACTGGCACGGGCTGCTTGCGGGGTTGCCCAAGGCGGCGGTCAATTCTTCCCCTCTGAGCCCAGACCTCCGACGTCCCTTCGCGGCGTGATCTGCAGGGAGCTCCTGACTCGATCCCCGGGAGCTGTTCCTCTGCCGCGGGCCGTTTGCAGATGGTCCGGGGGGGCCCACGGAAGGCCTCGGGAGGCTCACAGTTGGGCAACGCGGGCGACGCGCTGTTGCCGCGGCGTTGGAGGCATGGGAGAGTTGCTGCGGAGCGTGCGTTCTGTGCGCTTTCCTCGCTGTGTCCCGCTGCACGCCCAGTGCCCCCCTCGAGCAGCGAGGCGGTCCTCAAAAAAAGTGGGCGCCCCCCCCCCGCCTTTTGCTTGACGGCGTCTGCTCTGCCGAACTGACATTTCTGCGATCCGGGCTTCTGACTACAGGCTGCACGCTGCACCTGGGGCGGCAGAATTTCCGAAGCAGTTCTGAAGAGCGCAGAAAGGATCACTACATAGAGTACTGCAGAAAGTGAAGCGCAGTATGGGCAGCACTCCAGACGATACGAACGGCGAGACCATGCGGGGGGACCACAAAGGCGGCCATAAAGGGCGGCCATAAGGGAGACCATGAGGAAACCGTGCGGGAGACCAACAGGGAGACCACGTTGGTTGCCATACGGAAGACCATACAGTCGGGGGCCCTGACGAAGGAACCCTTTTGGTTGGGGAGGGTCTCCGCGTTCCTTAAGTGTTTCACAGCTTGCCTCAGGCTTTCCTTATGTTTTCGACAGGAAATCGAAGGTTAACTTGTGGAAGAAAGGGGCCTCGTTTAGGGTTCCTTAGGTCAACGCCCCGACTGTACCGCAGACCACAAGGGAAACCATATGAGCGACGCAAAGATGTGATCGTCTCCGCCGACACTGGCGCGTCAGCGTCCCGCGCAAGGTCGCGCGCGGGCACACCTTCGCCTCCGCCGTGGTGTGCCACGCCGGCGGCCCGCGTAGGCCGACTCGTGAGGTCGCTATGGCATGTCAGGTCGCTATGCCGTCCAGGCTCTGGCCTTCTGAGAGGTGTCCCAAGCTAAGCCTTCCCCGCAGGGCTCGTTTCGATTCCTCCGATTCGATTCGATTCGATTTCGATGGCTTCCGATTCCGATTCGATTCGACTTGAGATTCCGATTCGGATTCCGATTTCTCAATGAGGCACTACCACTCTGCCGATTTCCGCCGATTCGACTCCTCCCGACTTGGCTGCCGATTTCCGCCGATCCGATTCATTTCGATCGCCGATCCGACTTGTCGATCCGATGTTGGGCTCTCCTGCCCCCGAGATACACAAAAAACTTTATCAGAAGGCCAGAGGGCTTGTGAGGATCTCGCCAGAGGGCCTCTGAGAGAATCTCCGCCGCCTTCTGAGAAGTCATCCTCCCTCGCACTTCCCCCCCTCGCTCGCCGCCGACGTCAGTCATGCGATCTCAGACATGGATCAGGGGGGCATGGATGAGCGACGGGTCCCCGTCTCCACGGGCAATCGCGTGTTTCCGCCGCCGATCGCCACATTTTGTGGATGGACCCCCCATGGATCGCTAGTCCACGTTTGCGCGCCCCCTTTCCCCCCTTTTCCCCCCCCATCTCTGGTTAATTCCAGCTTCGCGCGGCCCGCTCAGCTTCGACCGGAGGAGGTGCGCTCTCGACCCGCGAATCGACAATGTTTGCGCGCCCCCGAGACACGAGGAAGACAGCACGGGAAACCACACGGGAGACCACGCCGGAGGCCGCAGCAGGCCGAGGGCCACGGGCTTCGGCTCTGGAGGACCACACACCCCCAGCCTTCGAGGAGCACAGATCTTTATCTGCACGTGTATTTACACAACTCAGGAGGGGAACAAAAACAGACACAATTCATCGTCGGCTGCCCAGAAAGTATGGGAACATATGGTAAGTGGGGGGAAAAACAAAAACCCATAAAATATGGGGAAATATGGGGAATCTTGTTATTTGTGTATTTATTTGTGCGTCCCAGGGCCCCTTCAATAACATCCTCACAGAAGGGTGGGTCGCGCTGTTTGTCGGCGGCGAGCGAGTGGGGATGTGAACAGGAGAAGGCCCTCTCAGAAGGCGGCGGGACTTCTCGGAAGCCCTCGGGCCCTCTGATCCCTCGGGTCTTCTAATAAGCGTCCTGTGTCTCCGGAGAAGGCTCGGACAACTTTTCAGAAGGCCAGGGGACACCCGAGCCTTCTGAGAAGGCCCGCTTCTTCTCACTTTCCCCCCTGGGCGCGACGCCGACTTTTGGGAATGTTCGCCCCGTTTCGGGCCCCGGGGCCCTCACAGATCGATGCGTTTCGCAAGATGTTGCCGAGCGTTGAGTTCGACAGGTTTGGTCAGTCGTTCATTCGTGACTGTATAGTCATCTTCGCGGTGCCGGATATGCGGTCAATGCCATGAAGAGGGCCAGCGTACATCATAGGTAAGTGCTGCGTCTAGCTCGTACTCCAGGTCAAGAGTCGATGTGCTCCGGTTGTGGTTCGACCCGGGCTGATTCTGTGTCGTGATTATCAGTGATCTTCTCTTTTGGCGGATTCGAATTCTTCAGCCCTGACCATTATACACGAGCCCCGCTGGGATAGTTCGCGATCGTTTCCAGCCCGGTGAGTTTGAATTTCGGACAGGTCGTCGGGAGGCATTGACGCAGGGGAGAAGAGCAAGTGAGCTCGAGGTCGGGAGGAGGGGGAGGAAGAGAATAAAGACGATATCGGGGATGAGGAGGTCCGTGGGTAGCCCGCTTGGCTCGAGCGAAATATTCTCGGGCTTGGCGTAGCCGCTGGGTCAAGCCACTTCGCTTGCGCATGTGTCCCAGGGCTGTGCCATACGGTTACTCGCTTGCGGGTTGGTGCTAGGCTCCTTCATCAAGAAGTTCTGTATCAGTGAACTCCAGGGGGAGTCTGGCTACGAGACTCCTTCACATTCGTTGTCGCCCTCACCGTGATAGTTTTGTAGTTGCGTGGTCCCCGTGTGTCTTGGGTTTCAGCTACGTGCAATTGCTGTTGTTCTTTTCTTGTGCTAAGTGAGTTTGGAGTCAAGCTTTTTTGTACGTTTTGGCACTGTTGGTTACTACGAGCTAGCGTTGCAGCCATCACGCGTGTCTGCAGTACGAAGATGCAGTCCCGTTGGTATTTCTCGGGAGCGTTGTTTACGCGTTGAGGTCGCATCTTTCGTGTCCGTTGGGCTGGTACCTCGGCTTCCAGAAACGCCCCTAGTATTGCAAGAATGTTGTTGTAGTCGCGTTATTTGTAGGCGTCCGCGGTACAGTCAACCACAATAGTAAGGATGGGCAACCTTCCCAAGGGTACCCTTGCATCCTCGCCGCCTCGGTCCATCCTTCGCCGCTTTCGCTTGCCGCGCCCCGCTCGAAAAGCTTCGAAATGGGCGTCCAAGGCCCTTGCATCCTTATCGCGCATCCTTGCTATACTGGTTGACTGTGTTTGTGCTCCTGGTCTATTTTGGCGTGGTCGTGCGCATGTTCCTGTCGTTCTTGGGGTTGCCCCTCTTTGCCCCGCTCCTCCCCTCTGTCTTTGCTGCTGGTCTCACGCCGTGGGGCCTGTCGGTTCAAGGCCGACAGGTCGGAGAGGAGGAGGAAGCGGAGATTGCGGGAACGGAGATGGAGGAAGGGGACTGAGGAGCATGAAAGGGAGATAAGGCAAATGCCACTAAGACTACTGGCAGTTGGAATCGTGACCGGTGCCCGTGGCCTGAAAGATGGGCTTTGGAGCAGTCGGCCTCGGTGTGCCGGCCACATTCTTCGCCGCGGGCCTGTGTGGTTGCCTGGGGGCCTGCAGGCGGCCCAGGGGCGGCGAAATCGCGAGACAGAACGACAGATTTGAAGAATTTTCGTCGCGACACCTGGTGTCTGGATCACGGGGAGGATGTCGGAAAAACAAAAACGGCCCATCGATGCCGACGGCAGCGCAAGAGAGACGAGGACGGTGAGAAGGAGGCAGGTTAATTGTTGCAACGTCCTTTCAGGGCCAGCTGCATTCCGAGTGGAAGAGGATGAGGAGGAGGAAGAGACGGGCGGCCCGCGCCCGTCTGACGGTCATCGACAGGGGGAAAGGATAGGGCACCAAGAGCGGAGGGTCTACTGTTTCTCCCTCCAGTCCTCTTCCTCGTCTCGTGCGTCCCTCTCTCTCTCTCTGTCTCTCTGTCTCTCTGTCTCTCTGTCTTGCTCTGCTTTCTCCCTTGTTCCCCGCTGGCAGGGGAGGATTCGTTGCCTCCGAGTTCCGAGCTTCTCCTGAGGTCTCCCAGGGGGTCTCCCGATGTTCCCGGAGGGCCCCCAGAGGCCTTTGGCGGCTGCTGGAGGCCCTCAGCGGAGGAGGCAACTTTCCCGAGGACGCACGGAGTCGATCGATTGTCCTTGAAGGGGCGGAAGGGGGGCAGGCGGTCGGCGCACACCACCGCCTGCCAGGAGGGGGGAGGAGGAGGAAGAACGATGCGGAGGAGGATCGGGCCGGACGAAAGGGGGGGATTGGGAAAAGGGGGGTTACGAAATTTGTTGCAAGCAACTGGTTTCGGCCCCACCGAGGGGCCCATTCCTCGATACATAGCCGCCTCCGGCGCCGGGAGGCGCCGGGAAAATCAGCTACGTGAGCTGATTCTCAAACCCCCCCTTTGCTATCCCCCCCTTTCGCCCGACCCGAGAGGAGGGGAGGGACCGTGAGGATGTTTCTGTTCAAGCCTTGCAACGCTGCGGCCCTGCAGAGCTGCGGGTAGCCTGCAAAGTTGGCCTCGCTTGCTGACCGCTTCGGGCCCAGACGCATCGACGTTCGGTCTTGGGTCCCATCCTCGAGCAGCAGGGGGGAGGCGGAGTGAAGCAGGGAGGGAGGGCAGGAAGGAGGAGGAGGAGGAGGAGGAGGAGCAGGAGGAGGAGGAGGAGGAGGGAAAAGGGGAAGGAGAGAGGGAGGGAGGGAGGGAGGGAGGGAGGGAGGGAGGGAGGGAGGGAGGAGGAGGAGGAGGAGGAAGAGGAGGAGGAAGAGGTGCAGCAGTAGGAGGAGCAGGAGGTGGGGAGGGAGGGAGGGAAGAAGGGTGCCGACGCTTGCCGCTGTGGCTCAGCAGGGCAGCGATGGCGTCCGCCTGACGGCGGGCAGCTCGGGGGAAGGGACGGGGGAGGGCCCAGCGGCCGCGCCGCCGACAGGAGTTCCGTCCGCGCCGCAAGCTTTCCCCTCCCCCTCCTCGGTCCCCCTCCTCCCTCCTCCGCTCTTCTAGGCCCCCTACAGTGCCGTTTTTTTATACATGCTCCGCGTGCGGATCATGTATTAAGAATGCAGGGGTTTAGTATTCAAACCAACGATGAGTTCATGCATACATTTATTCATACATTAAGCATGTATTAAAATCCAATAGTTTTAGAATCCCTATGTATTAAAAACTGCCTTGTAAATGGGGTCGGAGCAGATGGGGTCGGAGGATCGCACCGCATCGCCGATGCGGCTCGATGTGGGGCCCGATTTGCTTCACGTCGACATCGCGGATGTATCGCCCACGTCGACGAGGCATCGGCGATGCATCGCCGATGCATCGCCAATGTATCGGCGATGCGGCGCGATTCTCCGAACCCATCTACTCCGACCCCATCTAGGAGGCTTGTGGCTCTACCTTCTTCTTCCCCCGCCAGCCTCATCTTTGTTCGCCGTCGTGGTTGTCCTCCTGGGTGAGGGGCCGTGAATGAAGGGAACGTATGTGCTGTATTTCTGGATTACGCGGTTGTTGTTGTCTTCTTTGGACCTTCAGAGGTTTCCGAGTACTTCTAGACGCCTTCGGGAATTTCCAGGGACCTCCTGGAGACCGCGTATTCGGGAGGCTTAGGAGTCGGGTTGCGGACACGAGCTTGGCGTGGGATGGTTTCCAAGATGCTTCAAGATGGTTTTCAACGCCGTTCAAGATGGCCTCCGAGACCAGGTGCCAAGACAAGGCGAGAGATGATGGTCGCTGAACGGTCCCAGAGGGTCCCTAGAGACACCCAGGACGTCCAGGATAGCTCCAGAAGAACCCGCAAATGCCTCGAAGAGGCGAGAATCATGTTATCGCCCCACGACGGCCCAACATACCCCCATGAGGGTCCCCAGATGGCCCCCAGACTGCCCTCAAGAGTGCCCCCCCAAGAAGGCCCCATGACGGCCCAGGGCCCCCCCCGGATGGCCCCGAGGGATGCCTCCAACAGGCCCACCAAGGGACCCCGAGAGGCTTTATCAGCAGGCTTCGGATCGACTGCAAGTCCATACGGAAAGGCAATCAGCTCCTTCTTCGCATGGCCAAGCGAAGGGGGGGTGTATTGCGTTGTGGGGGTATGAGGAACGGTTCATTGCCCCCTCGCTGGAGAATGTTTTGGGAAAGCAGGTCCGTTAACACGCATGCACACAGAGGTTTGGAATGCGAGCGTGAAGTGCACGCGGAACTAGTTCGAGACAGGTGTGAAGCGTCTGGCGTTCGTATACCCACCGCACGGACGTGTTGCAAAGTGTGCGCGTGTGTGTGTGTGTGGTGTGTGGTGTAGGTGTTTGTGTGTATGTGTGTGATTGTGTGCGTTGTGTGTGTGCGTATGTGTTTGTTTTTGCTTGTGTGTGCGCATGTGTTTGTGTGTGTGTGGTTGGTTGTGTGTAAGTGTGTGTGTGTGTGTGTATGTGTGCGTGTGTGTTTGTGTTTGTGTGTGTGTGTGTGTGTGTTCGAGTGTGCTTGTGTGTGCGTGCGTGCTTGCGCGCGCGGGTGTTTTGTTTGTGTGTGTGTGTTTGTGTGTGTGTGTGTGTTCTGGCCCTGTTCGCAGTATTCCAGAGCTGGTGCAAAGCGGATGCTTTATGGGTGCGGTACGTGCGTCACAGTGTGTAGGCAGGTGTAGAATATATGTTTGCGCACACGGGTTCAGGGAGTTAGACGAAGAGGCGGAGAAGGGACGAGGATGGTTCATGTTGCGTCGGTGCGTACGTTCGCGCATCATATCTGCAGTGTGGTCGACTTTTCGTGCCTGAAGGAGCGGATGGTCTTATGATTGATAATGGTTTCGATTCGCCTGTATTCCCTCTTGACAATACTTGCTTGTCGATCCCGGCGCGAGGAGCCGACACGAACTGGTGATGAATGAGTGGCGTGGCTGCGTAGTCTTCACATTCATCGCGCTCGGCTTTGGGGGCTATTTGTCCAGGTCTTCTATTGTACCGCATGCATTGCCACACGCGTGTTTGCCCCACGCGTAGCCGATGTGTTTGCTTGTGTTGCCCACTAACCGACAGGTACTGTTTGTATTGGTCATTGGGCATCGCATCAGGACGAGGAGGAGGAATACGGTGAGCAGAAGGAGGAGGAGGAAGAGGAGGAGGAGGAGGAGGAAGAGGAGGAGTTATCATACCAGAGCACGTTTAAACGTTTACGCTGATTTGCGGTAATGTTTGATGCCATTTGTTTGCAAGGCGTGTTCTCAATCCCCCGTCAGAAAGTCGGACGACAGAGGAGGGGCGCAGAGAAACCATCTTCGTATAGAGGACTTGCGAGTGTCATTGGGGCAAAGGCCGTTCTCCGCCTTCGCCTCCTCCGCCGCCTCCTCCTCCTCCTCCTCCTCCTCCTCCTCCTCCTCCAGGTTCCATCCTGACACCGTTGGCAATTTCCTTTTCGAGATTGGCTTTGATGGGGAGTACCACACGATGGAGGGCCAGATCTGCCGCAACAACCCCTACACGCTGGACATCGCATGGGAGGGTCCGAAAAGTGTTTTCGTCGGTGATTATGTAAACGCGCTCAGAAATGTGACAAGGATGAGGAATGACCGGGCATAGTGCGGTTGCCAGTTGAGCGACGGTGCACCGAGAGCGCGTGGCGTAGTTCATATGCCAGTTGAACGACGATACATCGAGAGCGTGGGCTGGTGAAAGAGGGAGAGCAACAAGGAGAAGCTGGAGGACGAGGAGTGGGCTCCCAAAGGCTCTGGGGTCGGGGACTGGGGGCGATTCTTTGGTGGCGCCACGATGCCTTCCTGGCCGAAGGTCTCACTGAGAACTGCAACGGCTGGTACAAGTTGACGGCCTCTCGGTGCATGCGGAAGTGCCTGGACAACGCCAACGCCCCGTCCTGTCCGAGCTCTCCCACCGGCAAGTGCATCGCGTTCTATCCAGGAGGCTCGCGCCACGTCCCGCCGATCTCAGCCGCGGGGCCCGCGCGGGGGCACATATAGAGCAGCAAGCGGGGGCCAGCGGGCTCCTCCGCTCGAGCGCCCCCATCCGTGCATCGGATGTCAAGGCAGGGTTCATTTCGATTCCGCCAATTCGGTTCGATTCGATTTCGATGGCTTCCGATTCCGACTCGATTCGGCTTGGGATTCCGATCTGGGCTCCGACTTCTCCATGGAGGCCTATTGACTATCCTGTTGATTCCGTTGATGCCTCCCGATTCGACTTCTCCCGACTCGGCTGCCGATTTCTGTCGATCCGATTCATGCCGATCGCCGATCCGACTCGTCGATTCGATCTTGGGCTCCTGGGGCCAGGGAGGGGAGCAGCCAGGCGTCTCACGTCCTTCGCCCCGGGCGTGAGAGCGCCCAGGCGCATCGCTGCGGAGTCGTGCTCCTTGGGCCTTGGGGAGTGGTAGGCACGGCTATCTGTAGGTCGGGCATGTGCTCCTACAGGCGGGTTTGTTTGGACGAACAAAATATGACATAGCCAAATATGTTCACTAGTAATCAAAAACACTTTCAAAATCGTCCCTGGAGCATTTTTTGACAATTTTTGAACTTTCCCCTGCAGAGGGACACGCCCGATTTAAAGGCTATCTGCTGCAGCCCGCGGGCGGGGAGGTATCTGTCATCCACTCATCCACGGCTGTCTGGGGAAGGCACGCAGGTGCTCTGGATACGGCAGGTTCGTGTCGTGTCGACCGGCGGCGACCCCGCCGCGGGAGTTCAAGGTTGAACGCCGCCAGTGGCCCACAATCGGCCTATATGGAGCAATCGGGCGATCGACAAGCCGCCGATCATCCAAGGTTGAACGATCCACGCGGTGTCAAAAACCAATGCCGGAGTCGCCACGATACGAACCTGCCGTATCGAGGTCGATGGCCATTCGCGCCCCGCGGGCTCGCCCTGAAGAAGAGCGCGCGAGGCGCGGAGGGGCGGCGGCTGTTCTGGGCTGTGCTCTGCGGGGGGGGGGGGGCGGGGGCCAGAGGCGGCGCGGAAGAGACTGCGAGGGGCGACCGCGTGGCGCACCTGTCGCTCGGCTCGGAGCAGGAGGGCGCTGCGCCCAGGTGCGGATCTCACTCAGCGTGGCAACATGCCAACATGCCAAAATGCCCATCGGTCATTAAAGGTCTGTGTTTTTGAACTTCCAGATTCCAGTCTACAGTAAGCGCCTTCCTACTTCAATGATCGAGTGGCTTCACCTTTTCCGTCCTCCTTGGGGGGCGGACGGAACTCAATAGATGTTCAACGTTTTCCTATTTTATGTTTCTACCAACTTCCAACCGATGGGTAACCAACGATGACTGCAGCCAATCCCGAAGGGGACCAAGCCAACGAGGAAGCCGGAGAGGAATATCAAGATCAAGAGCAAGATAGAAATCACCCAGCGTTGCATCGTTCCCATAGAAAAAGAGAACAGAGAACGTCATCCGCAGGAGTGTCGGCGCTCCGCACAGATCTCTTGGATCGGCGCCGGGCCCGCCGCGGCTGCACCTCAGGCGCCGCAGGGAGGGGGGCCAGGCGCCAGTCCAAGAAATCCGCGCCTGGCCCCGAAAGGTTATAATTCTGCAGGTTATTCTGCTTTTATGGTAGGTTCGTGTCGTGTCGACCTGCGGCGATCCCGCCAGCGGCGTTCAGCGTTGAAAGGCCGCGGGCGACCCAGAATCGTTCGAGGTGGAACGATTTGGACGTTTCGGAAACGGCTGATCGTTCAAGGTTGAACGATTCCCGCGGTGTCAGAAACCAACGCCGAAGTCGGCACGACACGAACCTGACGTACCTCGAGTGACGCCTCGTTTCAGGAGGGGCAAAAACACACACACACACACTCACACACACACAGACACAATGATTCGGCGATTCCCCGAAAATATAGGAAAATATGGGAGGAGGGGGGGGGAAGACGGAAACCCAGAACATCGGGGAACATGTGGAGGAATCTTGGGAGTTGTGTCTGTTGTTGTGTCTGTTCATTCGTGTGTTCTTGGCACCCTTCCTTGCACTGTCGGGGGACGCCTCTCTGTGCAGGGGCACCAGGTCTCCGCCGAAGGCCGATCCTGGGCCAAGGGCCCAGGGCCAGGAGGGCGTACCCTGAAGTAGGGCATGTCCCTCCACAGGAGGGATATGCAAAAATAGTCCACAAATCATAGGGGGACGATGTTTGATTATTTGTGACTCGTTTTGAAGGCCCTCATTTCCCTCAAGCAAAAAGCAAAAACAAGGATGTCTTCAACTTTTCGCCCAACATCCATCTGTAGGAGGACAGGCCCGACCTAAGCGTATTCACCACCGTGAAACACATGGGCGTGCCCCGATGTGTTTCGTCTTCCTCGGCTTCCCGGGACCTCCCCGGGTCTCATATTTCGACTCCGCTTCGACTCGTTCCATTTCGACGGCTTTCGATTCTGATTCGATTCGACTTGGGATTCGGATTTGGGTTCGATCCGACTTCGATCGATCAATTTCGATGGCATCTGCTTTCGATTCGATTCGACTTCGATCCGATTCCTTTTGGGGGATACTAGCCTGCCGATTTCCGCCGATTCGACTTTTCCCGACTCGGCTGCCGATTTCCGCCGATCCGTGTCCTTTCGACGGCCGAGCCGACTTGTCGATGCGATGTTGGTTTCTCCTGCCCTTCCGTGCCCCAGGACTGTCAAAGATGACTCGGGGGAAAGGCTAGACCCATGGATAGCTCCAGAGTCCAGGACCCGTTTCCTTCAGGATACCTTTCTTTCACGCCACAGCATCGGTGTGTGCGTTTCTTGCCCAAGCCGGGAGGATCTATACACCGATGTGGCGCCCAGGATTCCAGGATGGGCCCCTGGTCAGGCGGCTGTGGTGCATAGTGAGCCTCCCACCGCAGATCTCGCCTGGCATCAGATGAGCAGGAGGTCATGATAATGATACAGTGGAGGCCCATGCCAAGAAAATACCCTGCTTGCCTCCAGGGTGCCCTGGGTTTCTTGTTCCGATGGTTTTTTTTATGGATAGCGTAACGTCCCCACACCAAAAATCAATGGACGTCCTGGGGTCTCACGGTTGGGTTTATTGTGGAAGGTTGTTTGTGGACTGGCCTCCATTGTACGCCCAAGGTTTTCCAGATTGCGTGCATGCCTCAGGTGTCCTATAGTTCCACACGGGATGCAGAAGCGAGGGCCGTTGGGAACGCATCCTGAGCCGATCGTATTCTGACACGACTCCCGTCCTGCATTCAAGGCGCTCAGATTTAGTCGGGCACGTCGCTCTACAGCAGGAAACTTCAAACATAGTCAAAACAATAATGTGGGGACGATGAGTATTCGCGAATACGTATTGAATATTTTTTCCGCTATTTTTGATTTTCCGTCGAAAGTCCCCCTGTAGGCGGACCTGCCCGACGGAAGGCTAAGAGGAGGGCCACGGTGTTCCGGAGAGGCTCCGGTTCCCGGGCCGTGCCTCGGAGCCTCGGGGCCGAGGCTCTGGCGTGGCCAGCAGAGCCTATACTCGTTCCGTTCGCAGCGTGCCTCATGGTAGCACGGTGAGTGTGCTCGAAGCAGCAGGAACGCCATAAACGTCAATTGTTGGCGCTCCGCGCGGATTTCTCGGATCCGCGCTGGGCAACCCCAGGCGGCGCCTCTGGCGCCGCCCCTGGAGCACCCCGCGCGCCAGGGAGAGGGTCAGCGCAGATCCGAGAAACCCGCGCGGAGCTTCAAAAGCTTGTGTTCATGGCGCCTTTTTTCGTCTTCGATGTGTGAGTGTGTGGCAGTGCGCCACAGCCTGGTGCCCCGATAAGACGTGGGGCTCGGAGGACTACCAGCCCTTCGATGGAAGGCTTCCGCCCTGCTTTGGAGCAGGATGCGCACCACCACCACCACCACTCGGGGGGATCCAGGGTATGGGCCGATGCGCGGGATGCAGTTGTGCATGGTGTCCCGCGGGAGCGCCCGAAACGATACACACCACCACCACCCCTGACCACGCTGCTCCTCCATTCGGGAAACAAACAATGACATAAGCATAAGAACTCTGAGGTCCGCGCGGATTCCTCGGATCCGCGCTGGACCCCCTTGCTGGCGCCTCCGGCTCCGCGAACCAGAGAGGGTGTCCAGCGCCGATCCTAGAAATTCGCTCGGACCTCCGAGTTTTTATGTTTATGTTATTCTTCGTTCCCTTAATCACCAGCACCTCTGACCACCCTCTGCCTCCATCCTCCAGATGGTGGAGGTGCTGCACTTCTGCCGCGGAAGACCCCTCCCGCGCCGACGAGCGCCGATCCCGTCGGTGCTCGGATCGCGCAGAGGCTGCCGTGTCGCGAGGGATGCGACCTTCGAGTTATGATGTTCCATCCTACTTTCGCCTTGATCACCAGAAAGAATTTCGAGCACCAAGAAATCACCGAAACTTGATGGTTTTCACGTGTCGGGCTCTGGGAGGCGATACTCCTTCGACACTGTTTCGATACTTTTCTGGGTGCTCGAGTTGTTGTTTGGGGATGTCGTCCTTGAGTAAGATGGGGGGCAACATAACTTGCGAGGGGGCTTCTTCGGGGCGGGCGCCTTACCGGGATAAGTCTCCCTGGGAGCGATCTGGAGCGCTCTAGAACTAGGAAAACGAACAATGACATAATGATAATTTCTTGGAGGTCCGCGCGGATTTCTCGGATCCGCACTGGACCCCCTGGCGGCGCCTCTGGCGCCGCTACTAGCGCGCTCCGCGCGGATCCAAGAAATCCGCGCGGACCTCTGAGTTTTTATGTTTATGTCCTTCTTTGTTCCCCTAAGAACGGCCGCGGCGCCCGATGCATCCTCCAGAGCCGCTGGATCTCAGAGATCCCCGGCTAGTCCTGGTCCGATGTTATGCCAGTCTTGGCTTCGCCCTATGATTGTGAGTCATCTTTCGGAGGCCTGGAGATTGACACCAGCACAACGATCTGCGGGGTGCATCCACGGAGGGAAGACGTTCCCGATGGTCATTCATTGTCCCTTGGTGCGTGACTCAAGTGGGACTCCACTCTGCGGATTCTGCTTGTTGGTGTTGGTGTTGTTGTTGTTGATGCTGAATTCTCATTTCTACAGAATAATTATTGTTGATCCCCCCAGTAACCATGTATTTTTTTCAATTGAAGTGCTTCTCCTGGGGCTCGCACGCTGTTTCTTACAAGGAAAAGTGAGGTGTCACCAAATTTAGCTGCTGGCCCCCGGCTCACAACAACAACAACGGCTCCCGCCTGATATTTCCTCAAATGTTATTCCCAAGTCGCGCTCTCGCGCGGGACTTCCTCACACATTATGCTGGAAAAGCGCTCTCGCTTGAGACTTCCTTACAATTCATTCAGACGCCGCGCCGTCGACACTCAGGAATCACGCTCTCGCTGTGGATTTCCTCACGGTTTATTTGTGAATCGCGCTGTCGTTCGAGACATCTCGCGGTTCACGCAGGACGCATCTTTCAGCAACATGCCTGCTCGACCTGGCCGTCTGGGCCCGCCTTCCCGACCCCCCCGTTAGGGTCTACCCGCCCGATTTGCCCGTCCGGTTCTTCACGGTGTTCTCTTTTCCTAGCCCCCTCCTGCTACTCTCTCTTGTGCTCCATTCTTCGTCCTCCCCCATGCCCCTTCCTTCCATCCGTCCTCTCTTCCCCTGCCTTCGGGGCTGCACGAAGTACACGTTGCAGGTAAGAAGGACATATCCCTGAGGGAGTACGATCGAAGACGAAGAGGGCGGGTATCGAGGGTTGGTGATCTACGTGTTGAATAGCACGCGAGTAGATAAGAGCAAACAGTCTGCGAATGATTATTGTTGTTGCTTTTGGTGGTGTTGTTGTTGTTGTCGTCGTCGTGGTGTTGGTTGTTGGTGGTGTTGTTGGTGGTGGTGGTGTTGGTGTTGGTGGTGTTGCTGTTGTTGTGTTTGGTGGTGTTGTTGTTGTTGTTGAACTCTCGTCTCTACAGAATATTTGTTGTTGAGATTTGTCATTTGGAGTGCTTTTCCCCGGGCTCGCACCTTGTTTCTTGCAAGGGGCAGTGAGGCGTCACCAAACTCAGCCCCTGGCCCCCGGTTCACAACAACAACGGCTCCCGCCTACTATATCTTCACATGTTATTCCCACGTCGCTCTCTCGTGCGGGACTTCCTCACACATTATGCTGGAAAAGCGCTCTCGCTTGAGTTTTCCTTGCAATTTATTCAGACGCCGCACCCTCGACACTCAGGAATCACGCTCTCGCTGTGAAGTTCCTCACGGGTTATTTGTGAATCGCGCTGTCGTTCGAGACATCTCGCGGTTCATGCAGGACGCATCATTCAGCAACATGCCTGCTCGACCTGGCCGTCTGGGCCCGCCTTCCCGATCCCCCCGTTAGGGTCTACCCGCCCGATTTGCCCGTCCGGTTCTTCCCCGTGTTCTCTTCTCCCAGCCTGCCTCCTTCTAATTTCTCTCGTGTTCTTTCCCCCTCCCTTCCTCTTGTCCCTTCCTTCATCCGTCCTCTCTTCCCCTGCCATCGGGGCTGCACCAGATACACGTTGCAGGTAAGATATACCCCCAATGGGGGACGATTGATGACGAAGAGGGCGGCGGACGAATGGCACGCGAGCAGATAAAGACCGAATAGTCTATGACCGATTGTTGTTGGTGTTGTTGTTGACATTTCATTGCTGAAGATAAGTATTGTTGATCCCCCCTCCTGTAACGTAGATGTTTTTCAATTGAAGTGCCCCTCCTGGGGCTCGCACCCTGTTTTTTCATCAGGGAAAGTCTTCCTGCTCAAACTGCGCCCCTGGCCTCCGAAGTGCAACAACAACGGCTCCCGCCTGATACTTCCTCGCGAGTTATTGCAGGATCGCGCTCTCGCGCGGGACGTCTTCGCAATTTCGTTAGGAATCGCGCTCTCGCGTGGTACTTCTTCGCACGTTATTCAGACGACCCGCCACGCTCAGGAATCTCGCTCTGTTTCGCTATGTGTCCTGGAAATCGCGCTTTCGCTCGAGACTTGTTCGCGATTTATGCAGGACCTGCACTTCAGCAACCCGCTTGCTCAACCGGTTTGCCTGGGCCCGCCTTCCGACCTGGCCGCTGTGGGTCTGCCCACCCGATCTGCCCGTCAGATTCTACCACTTGTTTTCTGCTCCTTGCCCCCCTCCTGCTAGTTCTTCTCGTGCTCCGTCCTTTTCCCTCCCCCTTCCACCCGTTCTCTCTTCCCCTGTTTTAGGGGCTGTGCTAAATGCACGTGACAGGCAAGGAGAATATGCCCCAAGGGGGTACGATCGAAGACGACGAGGGCGGGTACCGATGGTTTTGGATTTACGTCTTGATTGGCACGTGAGCAGATCGGCGCGAACAGTCTAAACAATGTTTGTTGTTGTTATTGGTGGTGTCGTTGTGTTGTTGTTGTTGTTGTTGTTGTTGTTGTTGTTGTTGTTGTTGTTGTTGTTGTTGTTGTTGCGTTGTTGTCGTCGTCCACTCCGAGACCCGACCCGCGACCCACCCGCGACTCACCCACGACCCCTCCGCGACCCACCCGCGACCCAACCGCGCCCCACCCCGCGACCCACTCGCGACCCACCCCGCGACCTACCCCCGCGACCCACCCCTCGACCCGCGCGCGACCCACCCGCGACCCACCCGCATCCCTTCAACTGAAAGGTCGGCGCTTGCGGCGGGCTCTTTGTATAATTTGTGAAGATGAGGCGCTTGCGGCGGACGTCTCCGCCGCCCCCACACTCTTTTCCGCAACTGCGGGGTGTATTGTTTTCGGGCTTCCTAGGTGGCCGAACGATTACCACCAACACCACAATCTAGGATCACCTTCCCTTGGTGTATGCAACCACCTGTGTTGGTGGTGGTGCCCATTTCCAGGCCTCTAAATCCTGTCTCCCGAGAAGCCTGCTTAGAATGTTTCACTATAGGATCTTCGATGATCCTCAGGGCGTGTGTTGGCCCCATGTGTGTCGGCCTGTGTCGGCCATCGTTGCACCATCTGCATCGTATGGAAGGGCACAGGAGGACCACCATACGTTGGCGCTGACACACGTTCTGAGGATCATTGAGAGATGCCCTCCACGTGCGGTATCTTTTTAGAGAGGGCCGCCCCCTCGCCCTGACCCCTCGAGCACGCCGCGAGAAGGCTGCAGATGCGAGTCGTCGTCTTCGCCGCCGCCGTCGCCGTCGTCGATTTCGTCTTCGATTTCGTCGCCGATTCCGTCGTCAACATCGATTTCGTCGTCGTCGTCTTTGCCGTCGTCTGGGGGGAGGGGATTCTCTCTGCGCTGCCGAGCTCGGTTCCTGTCGTGCCAGTTCTCGGCAGGGGTGGACGAGGCAGGCCGAGCGGAGGGCGCAGGAGGTGGAAGAGACAGGCCGAGCGGATCGACGACTGTGCCGAGTCACCAGCCCCTGGAGCCGGCGACCTCTTTCCTGGGACCGGTGTTTTACGCTAAGTGGTTTCTCGGTGCTCACGCAACGGGGGTCAGCGCTAACAGGGGTCAGCCAGTCCCATCTGGCTGACGCGAGGTTGGGAGCCACATGGGGCCGATTCCTCTTGTCCGCCGTCCGTTGGCCCGGGATGGAGAGCTACTAAGCGACTGGCCAGGCATCGCGACAGGGCCATGACCGACCCGGGTCTGCGCGGTCCTCATGCCGGAGCCTCTGTGTAATACCGTTGAATTCCAAATGCAGGGATTCAGTATTAAAGTCCACGATGTGTTCATGCACTCATTTATTCATAAATTAATCATGTATTAAGAATCCGATATTGTTTGGAAGTCCTATGTATCAAACATTGCCCTGTAGTTTCTTGCCTGGTTCGCTCGACGCGCGAAGTGCAGGTGCGTGTATTAACAGGTGCGCAGCGCTGTCCTTCGAATCAATGCCGCGGTGCGGTCACACGAGACAGTGCCACTGAGCAGCAGACATTGTGACCTGACTGCAGGCAGCTTTGCAATCGTGATCGCACTGTTGGCAAACCAAGACGCCCGAGGTGTCACC